TGGAAGGAACTTGGAGTTGGGAGGGGGTCATCCAGCGCTCCACTTGCGAGTGACGACACGAGACACCATACATGTCCCCTGTCATGTGACCTGAAAAGGCGTTCGAGCTTTGATTGATCTGACCCCAATAACACTCCTAAATGTTCCCATCAAGAAAGAGCCCTAAAATGTACATCGAGAAACGAGCAGCTATGAGGATGATTCTGGAAAATGTCAATTTGTAAAAGAACATGATGGCTAGATTCGTTCTTCTGCGCTTGAATATAATTTATTTTTTTGGGTCGGGCCGCTCTTGAATATTTAATTTATCCAAATTAATGTATTTACTATCTTTTCGGTTGAGGATATTGTTTAATATCGATGCTCGAATTCCACAAGCCGAACCGTCCGAGCTGAAGAAGTCTTCGGTCTGGAGTATGGGCACAATGAAGGAAAGAAGTCTCTTGGATTGGACTTCTGGAGGACCCTATGATGTTTGAGTTAGCAACCGTGATCAGGTTCCACTAACTCGCTCGTGCCTCTGCCCAATCAGTCCTTCGCTATCGGTCATTTCTTCATACCTATCTCAATCAAGCTAACCAATAGGTGCTGTTCTCATATCTCGATATACACAACGGTCAATCATCCTTGGTGTTGATTCGCATCGGGTCGGGTAGGAGGCATTGACCTCCGGGTCCTCCGAGGTTAGAACCTACCGGGCACCGATCGGACCCGCTATAAGAGCACCCGCGAGCTTCCCTTAAATCATGGATCCTCGACCTGGCAAGGTATAAGCCCCATCGGACCGAGTCGAGTTTGTGCGATTGTCTTTAGCTACATGATCTAATAAACTATCGTTCTACAACTTTTCAACGCCGGCATCCCCCCGGTCCTCATTTCAAATGCGAAAGGGTGCTCCCTTTTCCATCTATCAATTCCGAATCTTTGCGAAAGAAATAGGGTAGAGAGCGACGTGGTGGGAATTCATGTGAGGGGGTAATTAGAGAAACAGCCCTTGCTTCACTCCCATCTCGACATCTGTCTCCACAGAAATCGTTGGCCCCCCTCCCAAAATCACCTTTTAGACATAGAGAGATGATTTATTCGATTTGTGTCCGAGCCATTCGTGCCCACCAACGTCGAGACAAGACGAATCAACCCGAAATTCATTTGGTCGCTCTCGATCTCGATCCCAATCTCAATCCCCACTTATGATCAAACTCGAATGCAGCAAGAATAATTTTAAAAAAAAAAAAAAGACAAACAAAGAAAACTTATGTAGTTCGTTGGAAGGTCCATCATGAGTCTCAGCTAATTTCAACATTTAATGTCTAGAAAAAGCATATGAAAATTGTGAAGGCTTTAGAGAATGGTGGGGCTCCTGTTGAGATATGAGCGTGGCACGATTTAATGCGGATCTGTACTTTTTGCTGCCGGGAGTTGAGACATAGATCTGCAAAGCAATGACTCTCCATGCCCATGTAGCTGGGGTAGGGAAGCCATTTAATGTGCGTATACAATGGACCTTACTTTTCTTCGTGTCAATCGGGTTCCGATTTCATTAAGACTAAATCGCACTCTATAGATCGCGTCGTCGGGAACTATTTGTGTCAGTCCCTGGAGTGTTTGTAAGAGGTAAGGATCGATTAGACTCGCGACGTATAATGAAAACAATCTTCAAATGGAGAAAAGGTTCGAGGAGGTGTGTTGTGTTCGATGAGTAGTCGTAATTGGTATGAAATATATTTGATAACATATGGGGTAAAAACTAGGAGGAGCAAGTACGCACTAGTAGGTGTCTTCTTAATTTAGGAAGACTTAAGTTGATTTAATTGACTCCAACGGCTACTTTGCTCACTAACATTTGTGTCATTATTGAACTTTCTTGACGTACATTTTTTTCCCAAGGAATTTTCTCTTGCGGTTTAGTGGTTTGCGGTCCGGATCGGTTTCGATGCACCTTGACAAATCCGCATCCCCGGGCCATTTTAAAGGCGCACTTCCTCGCTTTGGCCTGGTGCAATCGAGATTTTTATTTCTAGAGCGCTTCTAATAAGGCTTCAGCCAAAGACCACAAAGAGATGAGCAAACTCATTTACCATCTAAGCCAATTTAAGAAAATTCCCATAAATGATTAATATCCAACCCTACTAATTATTTATCTCAATATTCATCGCCGATATCGGTAAATATAGATCTAGATATAGATTTCCAATGCATGTACATATGTATTCATGTCTTTGCTTTATCCAAGGATAAGCATGGGGCGGAGCTTTGCTCCGTCATTGCCTTGTCTGAGGCGAGGGTGGGGGCAGGGGCGGGATTAGTTCTATTAACATCACTTGTATAGTACACTATTTTAACTAAAAGTTGGTACATTTTATTTGAAGTTAATGACACTTGATCATATTTTATCACACATTTAGCGTGTTTCCATCGAGATTTTAACTGATTAAAGATCTAAAACACTAAAAAACGAGAATTTAGATCCGGTTTTTAATTTTGATGATCATTGTAGCTTTGTTCGTGGAGATAATCATCATGTTGAGCTTATCACGAGCTTATTCTCTTGTAGACATACTATGAACTCACGCATGCTTCATCATTATAAGAGCTTTACAATTCATTGATGCAATCTAAGAGCTCTTAATCTCCCAGCTCTAATGCTAAGCTATCGATTAGTTCTATTAACATCACTTGTATAGTAGTTTTGACTATGCAACACTTGCAGGGAATTGGAAAAAAAAGAAAAAAATGAAAGAAAGATATCACCGCCTGTTGCTAACCCACCCGGAACCATGTTAGACCGGTTGAATTGATCCGGTCCGATTCCAAGATTAGGTGAGCCGATTCCCTGTTCCACAAACTATGAATCGACCATTTGGGTTCGGTTCCCGGTTCCAGGGTGCAAACCAACTCGCCCTGAAACCGATTGCCCATAATGAGCATAACTCGTTATTTATATACATTAACATATGTCTTCTCAACATTTATAACAAGGTAGATTAGGTGTGGTGGGACTAACACTGTCCCTCCCCCGCTCCCTCTCAAATTCCTCGCAATACAATTTCACAAGGAAAATTTGCTCATTTCGAGATGGGACGACGTGGATTCGCAGGTTCCTATGCCTAATCTCTAACTTTGTACATAAACATTGCGAACAATTCAATTTTTTTTTCTTTCAACAGTAAACTTTTTTCCAATAAGTGAGGTTTTGTGTCCTGATGAAACTTGGGATGCAATCTTTTCTGACAGAAAAAAAATCAGATCAAATGTTGCCCACCATCATATGATAGGATACCGAAGAGATGACTCTGTTGATTGAAACAAGGTCTGATAACATGCTGACCAAAATAAAATATAATAATAATAATAATAAACAAGGTGGATATGATAATCAAATAATAAAAGTAACCATCAAAAAACAAGAAATGTCAGATCCCATTTGACTTTTACCCTCATTTATTTGAAAAAGTTGGATCGAACCTCCGACTCTATTACAAATTCAATCACACGGTTCACTCCCTCGCTCGAGATGACAATACCTCGCGTTGGACCGATCGAAAGTACCAAAATAGAAAGCGTGGTAGTAGTCTTCTTATTTTAGCAAACGAGGATATAAATCTTAAGGGCAAAGCCATAAATTTTATTCTTACTTTCCCACCAAATTTTCGCAATGTTGTTTGAATTTCAGAAAACTATGAAAGGCAAGTAAGTTTTTTTTTTTTTGGTCGGAAAAGAGATGTAAAGTTCACATGTCAATATTTTAGTGATGTGATAGTTTCGTGAGTTTCGGATTCAGATTAGGCAAAACAAATTTAATCAAAAAAAGTAAATCCGTGAAATACAATAAATTATTTGAAGAGATGAAGTTATTTTTTCAAAAGGTTTAACCAGCAAGAAGAGTTAAAAATAGAGCTGCTCATTAGGCGATATTGGGTGGACTCAAGTCGAGCCTACGAGTTTTAGAGTTTTGTTTGTTATATCATATCACTTTACTTGCAAGTTTTATACCATTTATGTGTCCTATATTAGAAATTTGGACTAATCTTATCAATAAATTTTAAATATTAAGGTACAATTATTAATAAAATACATGCCATAATTTTTTTATTACATATATGATGGGCCTACATTGCTTGTTCATTACTTAGATCTTATACGAAATATATATTAAAAGCTTGTTCTATTTAGTATCAACTACAGTCTATAAGCAAACCTACAACCATTCGATATCACGTCACGAGGTCTTACACGATAATCGACAACAACATATTTTGATCTGACAGTCGACATATGCTTTGTCATCCAACGATCGATCATTTTTTTTGGGATATGTGCACTTGAAGTCCTAAAACTTACAAAAAATGCAATCAAGTCCTACAGTTTGTTAAATTAATGCAATTGAGTATTTCCGTTAACTCCATCCAACTTGGCTAACGGAAAATACTAACTTGGCTTTTTTAAATATTTTATTTCTCCTACGTGGCGATGGTGTGGCTAAAACACAAAACTTAAGGCTAAAACAATGTCGTTTTGGTCTAAATATGATTTTTAATACAAATTTTATTTAAATTAAATTAAAAAAAGTTAAAATTAATATAAAAAAAGAGAAAAAAAGGGAGAGTTAGATTCGCCCTCATCGCCGCCGCTGCCCCACCTTTTATTATATTATTTTAGCTTTTTTAAAATTTAATTTAAATAAATTTGTATTAAAAATCATATTTAAACCAAAACGACGTCGTTACGTGATATTAAAAAAAAAAAGTCACGCCATTAGCCAAGTTGGACGGAATTAACAGAAAAACTCGATTGCACTAATTTGACAAGTTTTAGGATTTAATTACAGTTTTTACAAATTTAAGGACACAATTATACTTTCATAACAAGTTTTAGAATTTTCGGTGAACATAGCTCATTTGTTGAACATTTTGCACGTTTCTCGCGATAACTTTTGTCACACTGTGGAAATACTCTTTAAACCCGATTCATTGCGCCTAAGACAAAAAAAAAATTAAAAGTGAGTGAAAACAACTAATTCACATATTTCTTGGAGGGAAAATACAAAAGAACCAAGCTGCCATCTCGCAAGTGCGGTCCAATGGTGAATTTTCCGATCGTAAGAAAAAGCGAAAAATGATAATAAAATAAAAAAAAAACGTGGAAAAAAAAATCCGAAGAAATCATTTTTGCAAGTTTGATCCCACAACCCCACCAAAACATTGAAACTCGGAGGCCCGAACTCAGTCCCCCCCCACCCGCCCGAGTCACGACGCGGCGGCGCAGCCGCGACGTGAAAAACCGAGCCGCGACCTGTCCCCGTCGAACTCCCACAGGTACCCCTGCTGCATCACGTTCCCTATCACCGAGAGCCCGCCCCGCTCCGTCTCCACCGGCCGCACCGCCAGGCACCTCACCCCCTCCGCCACCTCTATGAAGTAGTTCCTCACCGGCGGCGCCAGCACCGCCCCCCCCTCCATCACGAGGCTCAGCCTCGGCAGCCTCGGCCGCCGGACCCCCGTCACGTTCACGCACAGGTCGAATCCCGGCGGCGCACTCCCCGCCGCCGGGAGCCCCACGCGCCGCATCATCGCCGCCAGGATCAGGCGGTACCCCGGCTCCGCCAGGAACGTGAGGGTCGTGCCGGAGTCGACGATGGTGCCGCCGTTGCCGAGCTCGTCGAGGGACCAGACGGAGGGGTCGATGGGCAGCCGTTCGCCGTCGACGTGCACGCGCTTGATGCCCACGTAGTAGAACGTGGGCGCGAGGGGGTTGGCAAGCAGCGGAGTGAACGCGAGGGTGGAGGAGGGGGCGGCGTTGTCTTCTCCGGGGCCGTCGCCGATGATGAGGTAGCTGGTAGGCGGAGGAGAGAGAGTGTAGTCCATGAGGCAGTAGGAGAACTTGTTGCTGCCGAAGCGGCGGCCGAGCTGGGAGGAGAACGAGATGGGCCCACGGCCCAGGCCCATGACCCCCTGGGACCCATTGAAGCTCAACCCGGTCACACTCGGACCCGACGCCCGGAACCCGCAGCCGAAGGCGAGCCCCTCGAGCCTCGCCGCCGTCTTGGCCTCGGCGCTCGTCGTGTTCAGGGTGACGGTCTCCCTGGAGAAGAAGCCGCTCGACAGGGAGCCGTCGGAGTAGGTGTACTCGTAGCGGCACGCGCTGTGGAGGCGCGTGCGGTTGCAGCGCGCGGGGGAGGGGCGGGGGACGAGGCGGCAGGACGCGGAGTAGCAGTGGTGGGGGCGGAAGGAGGAGGAGCGGCGGGCGAGGAAGGCGGAGCCGGGGGCCCGGCGGGAGCAGCCGCCGCCGACGCCGCAGGCGGAGCAGCGGGCCCAGACGAGGTCGCTGCCCGTGTCGGCGACGAGGAGGAGGGGCTGGGGAGGGGTGCCGAGGTGGAGGGCGACGAAGTACTGGCCGGCGCCGAAGGGGGCGCCGGAGGTGACGGGGGACTCGGCGGAGCGGCCGCGGCGGAAGAGGGACCGGGGGGGAGAGGGGCGGTGGAGGAGGGGGAGCTTGAGGAACGAGCCGCGGGAGGCGGAGAGGCACGGGGAGGCGAGGAGGAGGAGGAGGAGGAGGAGGAGGAAGGAGAGGAGCAGAGAGAGGAGCAGCGAACGAGTCGCCATTGTTGGGGACTTCGAGAGAGAGAGAGAGAGAGAGAGAGAGACGGACAGACAGAGGGAGCAGAAGAAGAGCGAAACGAAGGGGGTTTTGGGTGGGGATTAGAATGACAGATTATAATTAGTAGCGGGATTAATGAGTGATTACGCGCGTGTGGGGTATCGGTAGAGATTATTACAATCGGAGCAAAACGAGGTTAAGACACGCACAGTAGGGGGGGAGCTGCCTTCGCATTCGAGCATCCAATGATGAGTTGAGTCGGATCCTATCCGTTCGCTATTTTGACCGGCCACTCCACGCCCGACACGTGTACCGCGCACGGACACGTCCCCCAGTCTAGTCTTCTTCTTCTCCTCTGGTTCGGGTGGGGCTTGTTCGGGTTATAAATACGGCCATTCGCGTAGCAATGCACCGATTCGAGTACGTGCGGCGCAACTACTTCGTGACGTAATATTTGTGGGATTCTTATTTGTTTATATTTATCTTGAAGATATCCATTCTGATAAATAAAATGAGAACCGCCGTATGAGGAAAAAAAACAATCGATTAAAAGCTTATTTGTAGTTGTAGGGCAACGTTGTCACTCGTGGAACGACACATTGGCGCTTATGCATTAGAAACAAAAAAAAGTAGGTGATTACCAAGATAAATAGATATTGTAGCGACCAAATAAATAAATAAATAAATAGATAGACATTGTGGTAGCTGGTGAAGTTTTGGAAAGTGAAAAATGGGTAAAAGACTGACATTGTTGAATAAAAAATATCGAGATGCGGCAATTTTCTATTTGGGTCGGAAGAAGTGAGAGTCGTGTGTTTAATGGTCCATAATCGATAAAAATCACCATATGGCATAGTAAGAGAACTTTTATAATGTTTCCTAAAACACCTGATTTTTCTCTCGAAAGAAATGAATCTCGACTAGCACTGATATTTGGGCTAATTTAAGCAGGGTTTTGGCTCTAAGGTCAAGCATAGCATGTTGTCTAGGCATTTTCGTCATAAAAGTTGCTCGTAGAATTTTTCATGTCGAGTCAAGTCTAGACTATATTGACCCAATCATATTGTTCTTCAGGCTTACTTGGCTTGGGTGAACTTGAATGGACTCGTGGGACACCAAGTCCATGATCACATTTATTCTTAAAAAAAAATCGATGGGAACAAACCGCGACATTATGCCAACCCATCTGTCCTGCCAATACACACACTATAGTTCGAAGAAAATAATGTTGGCACTCGATATGTTCTCCGATAAATCATATGAGCTCGTAGCCATGAAACATGCCATGGCAGAAATTTTGTAAATCCTAATTTTTTTTGTTATTTTAAAAGAATTTTGACTGTGATTCTCGTTATATTGACCGGAAACACGTGGAGGGTTCCCCTTCCCTCTTCGAAAGTGACACTTGTCACCCAAACAGGTAAAACTAACACTTTTTTTAATAAATTGAAAGAATGCGTAGAATTACGGACTCCTTTTTTCCTTCTAGCAATTGTGTTCTCTCTCTTTCGTTTGTGATTTTTCTAACCTTTGTTTTCCTATGTTTCTATTTCTTCGCTTACAGTATAACATGTGAAAAAATATAATGTATGAAAAATCCTGAAAACGATGCAGGTAATGGAGTCCATTATAATAAAAGCCACATGAGAACTTTCGTTTATATTGAAATTAAGCGGAGTCTCACTATTTCTTATAACGTAATGAGTGTTCGACTTATTGGAATGAGTTCAAACAAAAATTGAGATCTTCGCCACTTAGTTTATCTCTTTATAGGAGATCTCCACTTAGACCTTAATCCATCTCGTATAGGCTTGAATTTCTTCCTTTAGATGGATGGCACATCAGCATAGCAAAGATCCAATGTCCTAATTCATCTTAATTCTCAAGTTACATAGGAAAAATTCCAACTTAGAAACCTAATGGAAAAATCTTCAGTGTCTCTCGATCTAACCAAACTCCAATAGCCGCTGTCTCATTTCCTCTAGCCACTATGCCGACGCCACTACCCCTCAAGCTACAGGAGAGGGGAAAAGAGACACCGGTTGGGTTAGGGTTGGGCTAAATTCTTATTGAGAATATAAGGTTACTTCAGCCCATTTTGATCCAAGCACCCCTAAACATAGAGGAACCCAATTCAAATTCAGTATTTCCTCGTAAAGGATATAAGAAAAAAAAACTTATGCAGTAGTATGTGTGCATGTAGAGTTTGGGTTCCATTGGTTAGCGGGATTATGCAGTACTGTGCAAATCCATCATTTGTCAAAAAGACAGAGACAATAAAATAATGAAAGGGGGGAAAAGTACAAAAATAGTCATAAACTTATTGCATTTGTGCCAATTCGGTTCTAAACTTTTCAACTGTACTATTTGTGGTCTAAACCTTTTGACGATTTGCCATGTAATCCATCCGGCCAATTTTGGCTAAAAAATGATGACATGGATGCCGGTCGTCCTACGCGATACAACCAGCAATAACGCAGACAAAATTTATTACTTTTTAATATTTTTTCTTTTTTATTTTCTTTATTTTTTTTACAACTCTGGGTCGGTGAGGTTATTGACCATCACTCGCCACAAGCAAGGGTATTGCTGCCCTCACCTAGACTAGGGGAGGGCGTTGTGGCTCTTGCGGCTGGGGAGGATCGGCTAGCCCACAGGTTGAAAAAAAAAAAAGAAAGGAAAGAAAAGAAGAAAAAGAAAAGAAAAAATAATAACAATTCAGAAAAAAAAAAATTTCAACATCAGCACCGGCCATGCCATATAGGACGGTTGTCGTCTATCTCAACAATTTCCGGCCAAAATCGATCGAATGTACTATATTGGCAAATCGTCAAAACGTTTAGGACTCAATTGGTACAATTGAGAAGTTTAAGATTGAATTGACATAACTACAATAGGTTTTTGACTTTTTTTGTACTTTTACCGAAAAAGAATGATAGGAGGGAGCAAATTTTCAAATGTTAACTTATGTAACCAAGTTTTTGAAAGGGAAAATACAACAAAACATAATCTTTCACCCAATGCCCACTTACATACTTCCACTTTTGAAAAAATTAAATACATGCCTGAGTCTTACCTTTACGTATTACTTTGTACCTTCACATTAATTATTCTTGTGTTCATGTTTTACAAAAATGCCATTATTTGCAAAAATGACCCTTCCCGGATCCTAAATTCTCATTATACTAAAAAAACTTAAAACCAACTAAAGATAAATCACCTAAACCCTAAACAAGATACTATAATAGGTTTGTAAGGAGGAATTATTTGGTCCTTTTAGTGTGGAGTTTTGTTTAAAGGTACGCGAATAATATTTAAAAATAAAGATATGTGAACGATCGATAGGTGAAATAAGCTTTTGATTTTTGCTCACACTATAACATATATCTTCTTTCAAACTAGTAACCACATCTCATATTCAGCAAATGAATCGAAGTTTTGGTCACCAGATCATACAAGGGCCGGGAGCTTCGATCAGCTTTATCCCGTAATGGCAAATGCATCGTCTCATGGACACAGTCATGGATGGTCAAGAAAAGGAAAAGAAAGGAGGGGAAGAAGAAAATCTCAGACGAATTTGAAATTCCTTTGGGAGGAATCCGAGAGAGAGAGAGAGAGAGAGAGAGTTGATGAACAATGACACTTGGTCTCCCGGTCAAACAATCCTCTCTCTTTCTGTACGTACCCTTCCCACCACTACTACTACTACCTCCTACCTCATCTTTCCATCTATAATCTCTCTCTCTCTCTCTCTCTCTCTCTCTAGGGCTTTCCTATAGCTGTCTTCATCAAGTAGCTCTGTCTCCTCTTTCTGAGCTGAGAACTTTAAAAAAAGTCAGTATCATGGCAATACCACCTCCCCCCCCCCCCACGTGAAATTATCATCGCTATCTGTTTCTCTCTCTTTCTCTCCTTCAAAAGGAAAATAATTGGCGACATTGATCACATCTGCTATGAATGCAACCAACTTATTTGCTCCTCAAGCATCTCTAGCCAGTGATCGAGCATTACACATGAGCATGCAAATATGACCCAGCTCGCTTCGCAGTTACCGTCATAATGAATCTCCCTCCTCTCTAACATTCTACCTCCTCTGTGTGATCTTTTCATCCATCTCTCTGCTTGTCTGCAATAAATTTCAGATCGTCAAGCATGTTTTCCGCGAACGGCGACGGTCATCACAGCCCGTTTCTTCCCACGGAAGAAGCCCTGGCAATTGCCAGAGCCTCTGAAAATCAAGGAGCAGGTGGCCACCCCTCGCCCTTCACTCACTTCCCTTCGGTACCTAACCACATCGATGGCGCGTTATCCTCTCTCCATCCCTATTTCTCGCAACAACATGTTGCACCACCTGATGCCAATTTCACTAGCTTCGCGGCTTCGAATCAGACGACTCCTCCGAAATCTCCCGTCGATGCCAATGGGGTCGAGGTTGTTGATCCCGTGAAGAACAAGAAAGCGTTGCCTCGGCAGAGGAGCGCCGGCAAGAAGGACCGGCACAGCAAGATCCGGACGTTGCAAGGCCTGCGAGACCGGAGGATAAGGTTGTCGGTGCAGGTGTCGAGGAAGTTCTTTGACCTGCAGGACACGTTAGGTTTCGATAAGGCAAGCAAGACCATCGAGTGGCTCCTCTCTAAGTCCAGGAGCTCCATCAAGGAGCTGGTAGGCCGAAACATCACCAAGCAAAGGGATTGCGGCGGCGATGTAAAGGTGGCTCAGGCAGAAGCTGAAGCAGAACACGAACAAGAACAAGATGTTAGCAATAGGAAAGAGGTGATAAAATCTAGCGCTGCTAGGGAAAGGGAAAAGGCGAGGGAGAGAGCAAGAGAGAGGACTAGAGAGAGAAACCCTAATGCTTTGGAGCTCTCCGGTGCCGATGGTTTCTGTGCCCACCAGCAAGCGATCAACAATGATGACTCGGCGCAAGAATATGGGCAATTCGAGTCAGAGATGGACGACTCATTAAGCATCATCGACAAGTTCTTGTGTGATGCCACGGCAGCAACAAGCAGTGCCGAGATGGCAAACTACTATCCTGAAACAAGCGGTCTCTGTCCTGCGATGAGAAGCACAGATCTCCTGGCAGGTATCATTCAAGAGTTTGACAGTTCCTCGTTTATTTGGCCAAGAACAGAACCCTAGATTTCCTCAGCTATATCTTCACAAAACGTTACTTCATGAGTTCTATAAAAATTATTGAAAATGCAAAAGAAGATCGAAAGAAATTGGGGTATTGATTCTGATCTCCTCCCTGCGATCAGGCAATTCTTCATATGTCGCATCTCGAGCCACAGTAATTGATGTCTTAGAGGTTGGCTGTTTTGTGTAATTTCCTCTTTGGGAATTGCATGCACTAGGGAGAGCAAAGAACTCTTTTTTGGAGAGAGTGTATCGTGCCTCCAGTTAAGAAACTTTGAAAGTGCTGTGGTTTGTGCATTGTATTTCTGCAAATCCCTTCGGTTATCCCGTCTATAATTTTCTAGTCTCTAGGCAAAATTGGATATCATGCCGGGAATGGTTTCTTATGTCAAATCAATGATGTGAGAGCTGAATGATAAGTTTTGTTTAGAGGCAGTTGTTTTTAATCTCTTCATAGCATTCTTTTTCTTACCAGAAAATTTTGCAGCTTAAGAAAAAAACATGGACCGCTTTTAGTCCTTTACTAGTTAGATTCCGAATTAGCATTCATATGTGGATTAACGATCAGTAGCTAGGTTGCATGTGCTATGTTTTCTAATTCATATTTCGCATATGCCTCGTGAGACTTTGGATATTGCAAATGAGCAGACGTGGTGCTTGGGAAACAAAAATAATGTCATGTTAACAAATTTTCTTTTGGCAAATATTTTGTTGACATTGAAGTAATATCTTGGTAAACGATGTAAAACAAATCAATGCCAATGTCTAACTCAGAGGAACATATTGAGAATTGTTGAGCGAATCATATGAAGACACATGGAAGCACTATAAATTGTCATTTGTACATTGAGGGAATATATATAAATGGTGTAATAGCATCTCTTTGTAGACAACAGTCTCCGTATAAGATCTTCCTCGCTATCTAGGTTTCATTTTTCAATATTATGAGCTAAATACTACTTAGTGAACTTTAGGTGACCCAATTTGTTTATTATGGATTTGAAAAAAGCTAAAAAATTAAAATTTACTAAACTATATAGCTATAATGAGCTAAAGGGTAGCTTAGAGACGTGCAGTGTTTCGAGAGAAAATCTGAGACTGAAATTCACCTCGAGACTCTCTTAGGTTACGGTGCATGGAAATTAAACTTTCTTGTTTTGTGGATGGATCACTAATCTTATATGCACGATACATATTTATGTCTAAACATGATTATTTTATTTTATTTTCGAAACGTGTGAGCATTTTCAATAAGATTCATATGAGTATGCTACATCCATCTAATCAGGGTTGCGACTCTACACAATACTTGCAATGTGTCTCATGACTTGAGTATGCTTGCGCAAAAGTTGCCTTGGTAAGATATAGGTAAATAAATGATGAGAAGGTAGCAACTGGGTACTAAACATTTGTATTTTCCTTTCTGTTTCATCATAAGGTGCATCATGTAAGGTTGAATTTGGCCTTATTTTACTCCCAAGCAATTTTCTGGTACATTTTCCTGATTAGATGGATGTAGCTCTCAAACTTTTCTGTACTCAAAGTTGAATCATGAATATGAGGAACTTCTAAGTTCTGCATTACATAAACACCCTCCCGCTGCTATATATCTGGTTTGCCAAAATAATGAACTGAAGTTTTATATACAGATAATCCCACGGAGGAAAAAATTGCAAAATGAAACTTGCCTCTTATCTTTTACTTTCCCATAGATTCATAGTATATGGAGATATTTGCTGTGCGTTATATTTGCTTACGTTATATTTCTATATGGACGAAGCTGATGAAGTTTCATTAGTATATGTGGATAATTGCTATGCGTTGGGTGTAATGGCTAAGGAGGTGTTATATATTTGAGCAAGCTCCAATCAAAAGCTCCTGGCACATGAATGAGATCAAAGGCGTACCTTAAAGTTTTTCTGGGTATTAAGCAGGGAAACTCCGCTGAACGTTGTTGCTCAACATTACCCCATACTGTGTTATATAGATGCTGCATGGAGACATCTGCTGCTGATTTTTGTCTTTTGGGTCTCTGTGTATCCCATGTTTCTGTGAAGACCTACATTCAGAATGTGATAAATATGGTATTTTGATGTCCTTGGTAAATGACTTGAAGATTCCCCGTTCTTTTTCAGCTTACATTTTGTACGTTCTTAACCAGTTGATTGATTGAAGATGGAAACGGTTCTCTCCCTATGGACGTAAACTTGTTCGTCTGAACCACGTAATTGCAGGCTTTTTGTGTTGCATGTCAATGACCTATTGCTTTGTTTGATCCCTTGCGGGAAATTATTCCGCCCTGTGCCGTCTAGATTCATGACACTCACTTGTCGTAATCCATTTTTCAAATTTTTCTTTAGGGTGAAAGATCATCAAATCAAACAGTAATGAATCATGACGGTGGACTAATTGTCCTCTCTGAATGGCTTGCATCAGGTTGGCCTTTTCTTGTCAGCGTTCGTGCATTCATTTGCTTATAATTGCAATCTCAACTCTACTTATATCCGTTCTTTTTCGTCGGTTTCTCATGTCAGCCCAAAGGTCCACATACTATATGTCCAGCTTTGTCATAATCTAGGCTTTGATCCTATATATTGAGTTTATACTAAGAACATAATCTGGTTCTATCCTACACCTAGCTTGGGAAGCATAGTTTTAGGCAACCCCAGAACTGAAAACATCTTCAATGAGATCATAATTTAGAAACACACATCAGATATGCTTAAGGAAAAATCAAAATCCACACACCACACAAGCCACACATCCTGTGTGCATATCAGTGCCAAGGTAAAAGAGAAAAAAGTAGATTTTGATGAACGGATCTAATTTATCACTAATTCATAGTTTCATGGGATTAGTACATATACACTTTAATATATGCAGACTATAGAGTCTGACGAGTCTCGTTTCATAATGTTGTCAGGTCACAACTAAATCTAACCATACCAAAAGGATCGAGATCTTCTACATTTAGATCAGTTTACCCCCTAAAATTTGGAAACATTGTCTACCATGCAAATGGACGGTCCAAATCGATTATTTCTATTTTCCTTTTTTCTACTTTTTCTTTCTTCTTGTCTTCCCTAGTTCCCATCTTCCCATTTCACCCCTACCCCGACCAAACTCGTTCTTGTTTGTATGACAGTAAGGTCTTTCTTGGGTGCGTGGTCTCATGTATAAATCCCTTAGAGAGTAAGGGTATTTTGGACCAGGGGGTAACTTTACTTTATAAATGTACTCCTTAAAATGTAGAGGATCTCAATTCATATTAGAATTTACCTTGTACTTGCTCTTGTTTCGTAGCTAATGAAAAATCTCTGTAAAATAATATATAGAAGAGCGGAAAGTTAACAGGTGTCTCGGAGCAATTCTTAAATATCTAATAAAGAATGATTGTCATTTTTAATGCGCCGGTTATACATGACGTGAGAAAATGACAATTTTTTTTGTTAAATATGTTTGAGGAGCGTTTTCGATGCACTAGTCAAGAAAACCTCGTTTATGAGTAACTATAGCAGGAATGAAGAAAATCTTAGAGAGTGAATCACATCTATCAAATCTGGATATATCTCATCCCAAGATCTTTGCCAATGAAAATAAAAATGAAAATAACCACGCCAATTCAGCGAACATCCTTCAGCTAATCGGAATACCATCACCAAAAAACAAAGATGAACCAACAGCAACCATTCCCTACTGCTAAAATTCATAGCCTTTTCAACAAGGGCTCCACAACAAATCAAATGGAAACTCGAGAGAGAGAGAGAGAGAGAGCTCACAGGTTACACATGCGAATGGGGACCGTCCACCGTCTTGGCAGTTGTCTGAATACACGATGGTCCATGTTTTCTGCAAACCGAACTCGGTGGTATATGGGGGAAAAGAAGAGACAAGAAGCAGCAGCCAGAAAAGAATGCAACTGTTCGTTGGTAAGAAGAAGAAGACAAGACGAAGACGAAGAAGCCTAGCTCGCTACCTTAGGCTCTGTGAACAGATATCATCGATTGCTCTCTATCTTAAGGACAATGCTTTGCGTTTTCTCTCTGAGAGAGACTCTCCTGACACCGTCCTTAAAAACCAAGACAAGATTTTGCTATGTCATACACACAAAAAGTTTCGATTTTGCTGGTTCTTTTTCGGGGTCTACTCGGTAAATTCATTGCATGCCGGTGTGGGGAATGCCTAGGGACATGAATGATGAAATATCGGTGCCGTCACTACCGTGATATCGTATATAGCTATGATAGAATCATCCCCAACACATCCAAGATCCATTTAATCAGTAAAATACTACGAACAAACAGAAGAAAAAGCAAGATACGATTGTTGCACGAATAGTACTACTCCTCCTGCTAGGGATTTCTTTTTATCTTTGAGAAACTAGGGGGAGTTGTTAGTAAAACGGATGAGGATAGGGCGAGCCACGGCCATGGTCCTGTCCCACGATACGGTAGCGGGAGTTATTTTAAATGCGAAATATGTGACCAACGTGATATAATCGATCAATCATATGACTCAGAAGATATGCATGTCATCTATTTCTCCGCTTCAATTTTAGAATCGCTCGCGTTCGATTGATTTGTCATACCGTGTGTCATCGTCAAATGGTATGATAACTGTCCCATCAAATAACAGAGATTTTGCAAAACTGACCCCTTCTCTACAGGACCGGTGACAAAGAAAACATGATGTGCGCAATTTCAGCCTCTCATCCGATCTCTTCGTACTGGGGATGATGTGAATCGGGACAGACTTGGTGCGCAGAGGAAGGAGCACAAGAGGCTCATAATTTCCCGGAACTACTCCACAGAGAAATCTACCGTCGCGATCTGAGTAGGGTTCTCTGTCATTCTCTTTTGGGGTAGAAGTAGGGTTTGGTTTCTTGAGAATGGGGGGGTGGGTGTGATGAGTTTGGATTTCACGTAGGGACAGGATCTCCAGAAGTCTATACAACGTTATCTCAGCACTACAGTTACTCCATTAAATGTAGAGAGACCTCAACGTACAGTTTGTGTTTGTGTGTGTGAAGTTGTGGAATGTCACTTTCGAATGGAGGCGTTGGGCCATTTTTAGAACCGCGTGCTCATCCTCCCGGCCAAGATTACTTGGCTTTATGTTTTCCAAGACTGCACGAAAAACCCTCCTCAATTTTAATGCATGTTGTACAACCTATAAATGAGATGTTTGCATAAGTTAGTCAATCAAATATCAGGCTTTCGGGGGAGAGAATGTGGATCACATAAGAATCCGAAATTCAAGAACAGAGCCTCCAAACTCTTATCAGGTATGCAATTTTTCTTTGGATCAGATATCATGAGCCAATTTGCTACTAAAAACAGGGGATTAGCGAGGAATACCTTCTTTGTGGCCTAGCCTTAACAAAATGGCGATTGGGTGGAACCTAACCGAACCTAGAAACCCAGATTTCTGAATGTGCAAGAACCTATTTTACCACTCGATCTCAAACATAGCAACTAATAAGGTAGGAGGAATTGTCAGCGCATAATTTTGTCTCATCCTTATTAGTATCATACTATAACGACAATACAAGATTGTCAATAAAGAACAAAGAGTAAAGCTCGACAAATAAACCATGATGGATTACTGATGCACAATAAAACTCTCCCAAAATAGCCAGGGTCCACACCACATTTGTAGATATATACAAAAGCTGTCTCGTCATTCAGCAGAAGCGAAGCTCTCAGCCAAAAGCCAAACTTCAATAGTTTTACAAGTACTACACTAAAAACAACTAGAATTTTCTCACCGCCATTGAGCTGCTCTTGTGTCTACTTGAAGAAATGCCATTGCCCAACAGTGCTGATGGCTTAAATCCGCCTGTCAACAAGTTAGAAGCTGTGCCGGCCCTAATTTTCCTCCTCTTGGACTCCAGGACCAGTCTGCTCTTATCTGATGTCGCGGACCCGGAGGACGAAAATATAGAAGCAGCATTTATCAATGCCCGTTTGTCCTTCCTGTTCCTCTCAAACTTGGACGAAAACTTCACTTTTGCTGCGGTAGCAGTGTCTTCCTCCGTTGCTGGAAGCAGTCGTATGCCAAGGCCCTTCTTCCTGGAAGCAGTCTCTTCTTCAGCAATCCGCTTCTTTTGGCTCTGGAAATGGACAGTCGTGTCAAAACTTGACAAACAAAAGAACATTAAGAAAGAGGAGATAACTTGGGATAACTCAGAAACATACTCTAAGTTGCAAGCGTAAGGCCTTGTTCAGAGAGTAGTCATCTGCATGCCTAGCGTCTGATACACGTTGAAGGCGCACTAGTACTGGTTCAGCTTCTTTCTTCTTCTGCAAATCTTCCTCTTGGTGTTCGAGGCGGTAAAAAGGATCGGCGAGCTTGCCTCTTTCTGAATAACAAAATATTTTGAGCCAGAAAAGAAAGTCAACATCTACGGGTTTGTTAAGTTTGCTACTTTCCTATTTTTCCGCCAAAATCTGAAATACCATTCAACTTCAAAAAAAAGGGTGAATGGAAAACATAATGTATAAAATCCACGTGTTAGCATTTATATATAGTGAAAATTTTAGATGTTTAAATTATAACCCACAAGATTACAAAAAGGCAAAGAGTACAAATTAAAAACTACTCCAGACAGACAGTGCCAACACAAAATCACAAGCAACTCCATTGCAACTCAACAATCACTTAAAAGAATCATTATAGAATGTAGGAGAAAATCGCCTACCTTCATCTGCAGGAAGTGCAAAAGTTTCTGCATCCTCGATGTCATACTCTTCAGTCTTTCGTTCAGCCCCACTGATAATCACATATTCACAATTTTTTGGATCTGTTTGAATCACAATTTGATGCTTGCAGCAGGCCGATTTCATTGTGAAGCTCCATATCTTCATATACAAAGCAATAAACAATCACGAAAATCATTATTACTGGGTTCCAAAAATTGTATTAAAAAGGGTCTTGTTGACAAAGCACTTGTTTGACATACTTAGTGAGAAAATATTCATTCCAAAGCATGGATTGTACATATTGCAAGGACAATCGATGCTTTGGAATTTATAATATTTGCTGATTTTGTTGTTTAACAAGTGCTCCAAGGGCACTTCAACAACTTCTAATTTAAACGAAGGATCTTATCAAAGCTTTCCCATCATCAGCCACATAGATTATCATAATTCTTTATGCCATTTTTATGCATCAATAGGACATATCCTGCAGTCTACAGCATTCCCCGGAATCTCTAATTAAACTTACTCATACAAAAAGCATTAAGCCTTCAAAGGAGCATACCTTTGTAGAATAATAGTTCCCCACTTGCTTTTTCTCAGCATTGAACCTAACACCTTTTGCAATCATAGAATTGCATCCTCCACACCAAATATTGAAGGGCATCTCGAACCTAAAAATGTCGGAAAAACACAACATATATTAGCAATTCGCAACTTTGTACCACACATATTAGTGTTAACTCGCCACAGAAAACACATTTTTGCTGAAAAATGTTACAAATATAAGAACAAAGGTCTCCTCCAAGTGCACACTTTCATAACATTAGACAGGAGATTCCTCGCTTGGATGCAACCCTACGGCTAGAACTAATCAATTAGAGCAGGCTAATAGAAAAAGTCACAACCATCCAGGCAATCAGAGAGGGCGCTCCAATAAAGTGTCATGAGATGCTATAAACTGGAGAAAGCAACTTGCGATTCACTATTCCTAAAAGATTCAAAACAGTAATCCTAATCCTCATCTCATGTATTTAGGGGAAAAAACCATCCAATGGATACGTTTACTCATACAAAGAGAAAGATCATTCCTGAATGCCAGCTATCTCAACACTAAAATAAAAAAAAAATGTGAGGGTGAGTGACCTTGCACCACCTATGTAATTAGAAACGAAAAACCCACAAAAACACTGATTCAAGCACAGGTCCTAAAACAGGAACTAACAATGAGGGATGGCCACAAATTGGGAGTATTAGTTCATGACTGTATTAGCTTTGGCAGGTATGGACACGACATAAATAGCCAAGATACATCAAACTACCTCTCTCAAAAACAGAACTCATTTGCAATCCAGTTAAATAATAAACGTATTACTAAAACTATATGCTTCTAAGGACTAACGCTGCCCAATACCAAATACCTCATAAGAGATTGCTATCACATGCACCCAGATGACAGAAATTTAATAAACAGAAAGAGATAAACAAGGAAAGCCCTAATTGTACATAGATAGTTACCTTATGATCAAAATGCCCTGGTCTAGCTTCCGTGCTCTTTCTCTCAAAGCATGTTGACCATGAAACTTGTTCAAAGAACCCTGAAAGACGAGCAACATAAGAACCCAAAATACCAAATGCCAAAATATAAGAACACTGAAATCGAAAGTTGGAATTGTTACCTGGTCCGGCGTCCATTCTGGAGGGTAATAGAAATTGTCAGCTCTTGCAGCTGCTAGTGAAGACTGCAAAATTCAAAAGGAAAAGGAAGCTTAGGTCCGGATGAAATCAGTGATTTACGTAGTAAGGCCAAAGCATCTTTCGGCCTCCACACATAATGGCCGATGGCAACAACATATCACCCACTGTTACTGCAATTTCTACAACGACTCTGCACCGTGCTAACCAAAATAAGATCAAAGGCGGCTCAAAAGAGGAGACTCCGATAAAAGACGAGACAATTGGAGCGAACGGATCACAGCCCTGCTCTGCTGCATCATGCTAATGAAACCAGCATACGCAGGCAGAGCAGACCATCGCCAAGGATCCAAGAATACCTTCTCAAAATAGCTTCAAAATTCAAACTTAAGCCGAAAAAAAAAAAAAACCGAACGTCAGGAGTCCGCGATTCATCCTACAGACCGTTCTCCACGTTCGCACCGAAAGGGAACCGACGACCGCCTCACGACGAGGAAAATCGAGCGACGACCCCCGAAAAAAACCCCACAACGGATTACGCACACGCCAGCCTACCGACGCGAATCGCATCACCAAAACACCGGAGACCAAATCGCAAGCCGACCCAATTCGGCGAGCGAAGAACCCTAATTGCTCGTCCCAAAGGGGCGAACAAACGATCGATCAGCTCCCTAATCGCCAAACCAAGCAGTCATCATCATGGAATTGAAGAGAGAACGAAGGTAACGCACCATATCTGCTTCGACTTCGGATCGATTTCAGCGCTGAATCTTCCTTCTCTCTCCCTCTTGAGGAATGCTTCCGCGCTTCGGACACGATCTCTTGCAGAGATAAAAAAAAACGAACACGGGAGATTTCGATTTGATGCCGTATAAATGTCTCGGTGACACGACGTCGTTTTTCCGATTGCCCCCGACTCGCTCCTTTTGCTTTTTTGTTCTCTCTATTTTCATCCCTCGCCAGCTCGGATATCGATTGATGACAGTAATTTTGAATTTGCATTTGCCTATGGTCAATTTAAAAAAATCATCTACATTTGATAGTCGGGATAAAATTTAGGATAGCATAAATTTTATCCTATCCCGTATTTGGCGCCTGCTCAAAATAGGATAAAATCGAATATAGGAAGGATGTAACCCAGATAAAATTATCCCATGGGAGAGATGGGATAAAAGTGAATTTGAATTCTAATGTCCACATAAAAGTTGTTTTTCTCGAATAATAAACTTGTTAAACTGATAAAATTAAAATAATATATGAATATAATTAATATTTGAATTTTAATATAAAAATTCAATTTAACAAAAAAACACAAAAATTTCGTTTTTATTTATTCTTATTTTTATTTATATATTCAAATTTCTTTCTATCTCGTGATATAAATTTTATTAGAGAATGATGGAAGGGGAAAAAAGAAATCAAAAAAGAAAAGAATTAAAAAAAGAGAGGGAAAAATAATAAAAAAAATGAGCAAATACAAATGAAGTAGGTAAGAGTGTGGTCAGAAATTTTTTATCGTGTCCGTTTGTGCAATTTTTATGTTAATTTACACTGAAATGACATTTATACCAAATAATAAACATGGTAATATGTAAAAATATTTGGCTTGATTACTGCGATCCACCAAACAGTAGATAAGTTATAGCAAATCCCTTTGATTTCATATCCTATCTTATCCAATCATATCCTAGCTAGAAATTTAAGGGAAAAATGTTTGTGCAAATCGACGCGTTAGTACTAGCATGTATTTGGCAGTGAATAAAGAAAAATCAAATTGCGCGATTTATAACCTTTGAAAGCGAAAATGTAATCTGAAGGCGTGTTTGTTTCGGAGAAATCTTTGTAATAAAATTTGTCGTGCCTAGGCAAGCCTCTAGCGAACTCCGACAATTTTCTAGTCCAATCTTGCCGCACCTGCTAGCCTCCCGGGGATCCCATAATAGCACCCTAGTCCGTTAGTGCTTGTTGTGCTCGTAGAGTTTGCGTCGTTGTCGTGCCTCACAACAGTGCTTGATCTGATTTGTCGCCACCGACCACCGTTCGAGAGAGTAGAGAAAGAAACAAAAGAAAATAGAAGGAAAAACAACTAAAGAGGGAGGGGACGGAGAGATTTGGGTCAAATCCCTCTCGTTCGGAAGTTTTTTTTTTTTTGTCTGTATTCTACTTTAACTCTCAACTCACTTTCAGACTTTTGTTTGTCTTTTGCAAGGCGTGGGAGTGGAAACACACATCTAAAACCATACGTCCTCACCCTTAATCCCCTTGAGAATGTGGAAAATCGAACTCCCCACCTTTTCCTTCCCAAGTAGGAAGGGTGGCCATTGAGATAAACCCCAGTGGTTCTCTCCTTCAAAAGTTAAAAAGGCAAAGAAAGGTCGAGAATCAAAGAGGGTGAGAGAGAGTCTCCACAACTTTCTTATGTTGAGAGCTCTTTTCACGTATTTTAAGTTAGCGTTTTGTAAGTCCCTCAATGAATTGGACATAATGGAGCTTTGCTTAGCCCATCATGGTTCTTCTATCTCCTCAAGCAATTTATTTATTGTTTTGACTATTGAATAATACTTTATTGATTGTGCACCCACGTGATGGAAAAAGTATCGAAAAAGTCTTAAACCTATTGTATTTGTACCAATTCAATCATAAACTTTTCAATTTAACCAATTTAGTCCTAAACCTTTTTTGCAGTTGGTATCAATTCAGTCTGTCCGGCCAATTTAGGTCGAAAATCGCTAACGTGGACGTCGTCTATCCTATGCAGCACGGTTGATGCTGAGCTGGACATTTTTAATAATTTTTTTCCTTTTTTTTCTTCTCTCCTATGGCTAATACTCAACGAGTGTCGCCCTCGCCCAGGCCGCGAGGGTCCAATCCTTTCTAGAGCCAGCGAGAGCGACCCTCGCCTATAGTCGGTCGCCAGCCACGGCCAAGTACCGACCATGGGCAAAAGGAAAAGAAGGAAAAAAAAAAGAAAAAGGGAATTTTTTTATTTTTTTTTTAAATTCAAAAAATTATTAAAAATATCTAGGTTAGAGATTTTCAGCCTAAATTGACTGGATGGTACTATTTGAAAGGTTTAGGACTAAATTAGTTCAATTGAAAGGTTTAGGATTAACTTGGTATCGATGCAATAGGTTTAGGACTTTTTTGGTACTTGTCCCCCCGTACGACCACCCATCGAATGTTAGTAGCTCATGATTAAAATTGACCAAGACTAATTGCAAAATATTTTTGAAATAAAGAGAAAATGTACTAAAATGGCATTAAATTAATCTAATGTAACCAATTTCCCATACTCATGAAATCTCTGGTATTCGTGAAATTTTTGATTCACAGACAACTTCTAATTGACCCATAATAAATTAGTGGCGACTCCAAAATGAATTGATTAAATTGAAATCCCAAAATCGCGATTAGTGTGGGCTTGGGATAGTTCTCGCTAAGTATTTGCTTAATAAGCCATTAGCTTTCTCTAGGCGGTTCATCTCTAAGAAAGTTGCAATAATAGTGGTTGAGGAATTAGTGCAAAACCTTATTATTGCTTAGCATGATACGAGGGACGAAGTTGTTCATTTTGTAACATCATGTACAGTCGTTAACATCATTCCCGTTCGATTTCAAAATTGCTCATATTTACCTTGATCGGAACTAGTTCTTCATTCTCTCTCTCTCTCTCTCTCTCTCTCTCTCTCTCTCTCGTATTGTGCTCATCGAGTTTTCTCACTTTACACAGCACTGTTCATACGTTGCTTTGTCCACGGATAACATGGAATGCGTATTCCCCACCACTTTTGCCATTCAATCAGGTCATCACCTATATTGATGGCAACTTTCTGCACCGACGGTGCGTACACGTAAAAAGATTTCTTGGAGTTTTATGCACGAGAAATCATTGTTCTAGCATTTTCGTTTGGAGACTGACCTGGAATGCGATGAGATATAGAATGCGAAATTCGGGGTGGGACAAACTTTATTGTATTGCAATGGAATGTAAGAAATTTCCAGGAGATGGAAAAGTTGTTAAATCGCGTCAAGATCGAGTGAATTTTAGCGTCTTCAAGACGTCGACTACTGTTTTAATGTCGCGTGAATATTATGGTCAGATTTCTCCTGTACCCCATATGGTCCAAATGTGGGATTCCGTGGTGTCATGGTGAAGTGCGAGAGATGCAAAAGTGTCGATACGAATTTAATGCTTAAATGGCATCGAGATATTTGAATTAGAGATCTTGAGATATAGAGAAAATCTTTATAGGGAACTCTGAAGGTGAGGATGACCACCCTCGTCACACTAGTCGAGAGATGATATCACTTTCCTAATGATGGCTACGACAGGCCAAAATCAGTTGTAATTTGAAGTAATTCACATGTCTTATTAGGTTACGTTTGGTCGTCCGGATTTCTAGTCAGGATAAGATTGAATAGGATATGATATGAAATCCAAGGGATTTGCTATATTCTATTTATTGTTTGGTGAATTGCAGTAATAAAACAGGATATTTTCACATATTTCTATGTTCATTATTTGCTATGAATGTTATATCAGTGTAAATGAACCTAAAAATTGCACAAATGGAGATGATAAAAATTTCTCACAACATTCATACCTATTTCATTTTTATTTCATTTTTTATTATTTTTCCCTCTCTTTTTTATTTCTTCCCCTTCCATCATTCTCTAATAAAAATTTATTAAATTGTAAACTATACAAATATGCCTAAAATATGTGATAAATATAAATACTAAATGTGTGTATATATATATGAAATTTATATCATCAGATAGAAAGAAATTTGAATATATAAATAAAAATAAGAATAAACAAAAACGAATTTATTGTTATTTTTTTTGTTATTTTGATTTTTTTATATTAAAATTCAAGTATTATTTATATTCAAATATTATTTTAATTTTATTAATTTAACAAGTTTGTTATTTGAGAATAATAACTTTTATATTATGGATATTAGAAATCCTATCCACCTTTATCCCACTTCCTCCATGGGATAATTTTATCCGGATTATATCCCTCATTTATCCGACTTTATCCTATCTCGAGCAAGCACCAAATACGGGATAAGATAAAATTTATCCTATCCCGAATTTTATTCCGACTACCAAACGTAGCCTTAAGGGATTAAATGTCCAAGTTAAAGTGAGCATGGCACGATTGGTCATGATCACGTGCCTCGTCATTTGGCAACAATGTAACAAGTGAAGACCGACCCGATGTCCCAGGCTCATCCAGAGCCACAGGGCTTGTTCCCGGCCAAGAAAGTTTCAGCCCTTGACATGGGTTCCTCCTTTTTCTCGTGCATATGAATATTTAACGTCGTTTATAACCACGCGAAATTTCATCGCAATATCCTAAAGCCAATTCTTTTATTTTGCCAGAAAGGAAGATACTTTAACTCTGCTTAGCTTAAAAAGGTCTCCGCAAACAGCTGCTGATAGTAAAGATTTTTCCGCTCATAGAGAAGGTCATCAGCACATATGCACATTTCTCATCACATAGTTGACTGTGTAACTGTGGTATTTTCACTATGGTTGGGGGGGATAAAACTAGGGGTGAGCAAGATGGATCGTCCAAACTGGGATCGGACCGGACCGAACAGGATCGATCGGTTTGGTCCAGTTCTCGTGAATATCGGTCCGGTTCTTAAAAGTGGAATCGGTTTCCGGGCAGTCCGGTTCCCGATTCTGGGGTGGGAACTGGACTGGACTGGATCGAAAAATCAATATATATATTTTTCTAATTTTTTCATATATATATTTATTTACTTTTTAAAATTTTTGAAAAAAATAGAAAACCTAATCTAATTTCCTTAATTCCCTCTTGCCTTTACAAATAAGTGATTGGTCTCATTGGAATCGGACCGGACCGGATCGGTCCGGTCCGATCCACGATCCCAAGACTAGCTGGTCCGGTCTCCGGTCCTAGAAACTGGGAACCGGTCCTCCCGATCTGGTTTTCGGTTCTTGAGTTGGACAGGATTGGATCGGGAACCGCTTATCCCTAGATAAAACGAAGGTCTCCCTACCTGTTGATTTCCAATATTATATACACAAGAGATCCTCAAAAAGATGGCATAATTAGCATAATCCAAGACAAATTAATTAAAATCATAGGAGGTTTGACAATCGATGATGATGACTATTAAGCTTGTCGCTTGAGTTTTAAGAAACTCTCATTGGAAAGTGGGTCTACCTTCCCCTCCCTCCCGCTCCCTTTCCCCTCTCTCTCTCCATGAATCTAAGCACATCAAAAGGAACTCACAACTATAATTAACCCAAAGCTCCCCCATATAAGCAAAGGCCAAAGCACACATCAATTCGATTTAACCTCCTCACATCATCTTCCATCAAATTACCCTCCCTCCCTCCCTCTCTCTCTCTCTCTCTCTCTCTCTTCAATAGCTGTTCCCTGCCTTTTTCCTCCTCCATGCTTTCTCTCACCGCCCATTTCATCCTCCTCCTCCTCCTCCACCCTCCACCACCATGAACCCAAAGCTTCCTCATGGCCTATTCACCATGCTCTGGCTATCCCTCCTCCTGCTGTTGCTTCTCGAGTTCTACAAGTCCAGGTCTCATCTCGGCAATATACACCACGTCGTTGGTCTCGGTATCGGCACCAGGACCGGATCATCCTCATCCTCCACCTCTCATCGCCGCAGTTCCGTCAGCAGAAAGGTCTTGGCCAGCAAGTTCGACTTCACCCCGTTCCGGAAACCCCGCGGGAAGAGCCCCCGCGGCCACTCCCCGCACCTGCCGGATCCGCCCGACGACGGCCGTAAGGTGGACCCCCGCTATGGCGTGGAGAAGCGGCTGGTCCCGACCGGGCCGAACCCGCTACACCACTGATTTGATGCATATTCAATACCCAGTGGCAGTTTTTGCGTTGCTGTAATCTGCATGGAAATCACATCTCTCTGAAACCATCCACGACGATTTGTACCGTCCACCCGGGGTTCCAGAGGACACGATCTTTCGTCAGCTCCGCCCTGTACATGCATTGAGTTGTCACTACTGTGTTATGAGAAAGAAGAACATAATCTTGGGTTTAGTTCAAACTACAATAATCTTTTTCCTTTTCTTTTCTTTTTTCTTTTGATTGTGATGATGAACATCTGGTGCTTGTTTGATCAGAATCATATGTCTTGGTTATTTTGCTGTTAAGAATTCGTCATCAAGGCTTCGGTGGGGAGGGACATGAGTAGCTGTGACGGCACGGCATGGCTTTGGGAACGAGAATATCTAGCTCCGCCATAATGACATATGCTACTGAGGGTAGTTAGGGTTAAAAAGCTTCGCTAACTTTGATGATTATAGATGATTAAGCAAATCTTGTCTCTTAGGCCCCCCCCCCCCCCCCAAAAAAAAAAAGAAAGGGAAATTTTCTTGGCACGTGATTGGCTTACATATATAAATATTAACCTTTAGTTATTATAATTGCTTGGGGGTTCATTTATTCAAATTTTTTTCATGGTTTTTTCTAATAGTTTGACGGATCAATTTATTTGCATTTTCTTCTGATCACTTCCAATCTTAAATATGGGTTGGCTGAAATACTTATAATGATTAATTGAGCAAAGTAGAGTTACTAGAGCAACGGGTCGTGTCAATAGGTACAAAACGTATATCGGAGATTTAAAATATCGAATGTGCATTTACGGAAGAATCCGTGTATTAGAAACTACTAATTCTCCACTTATAGTTATTTTGATAGGTGCTCGAATGTCGCTTTTTATCGAGATTGTTAACGAATTACTTTCTAAGTCGGAATGAAAAACCCGTTCATCAATATTCGACTACTGAATAAAGTATCATGTTGATTATCAATTAATTGTGACTATGGACTAGGTTGGCTAGACATTCAACTAATTACTTATAAGGTCAATATATATAACTAAGATTATTCTTGCGCGATCCTCTCAATTTGGACCATACCCTGAATCGAAACTTGAAAAAACCATACGCATTTGAGTCATTTCTTTCATTTATACTTATCAGCCTATCTTGAATATGCCAGAAATGTAAATATAGATTGAAAAGGGGAGGGAGATAGCAAAACGAAATTTAAATTTGATTAATTAAGCATCTTATTATGTTTTTCTTACTCCTAACCCCTGAATCATAACTATCATTTCTGGGCCCTTGTGTCCCCCCATTTGTATATCTTAAACCTGGTTCATTCACATATTTAGGGTCATCATCACTACCTTTATTTTTGCACTATGCATCTCGAATCATGACTATATAGAAATTGTCTATTTAGAGTCATCATCACTACCTTTATTTTTTTTTTTCATTTCTTATCAACAAAAAAAAAAGCTCCTTACCAAAAAAAAACAAAAAAAAAAGCTGGTTTAAATTACTGAATATAGAATGTAATTTGCTTCGAGAAATATTCTCTTATTTGTCAAGCTAAAGTATGCTGGAGAGATCAAACAAAAGGACCATGGTCGTCCACCTCTTTTAATCGTAAATGTCATGAGCTTGATCAAACTTTGCGAATTCAAGATCGACAATCATAAATTCTTCCCCGGAAACTTTTGCGATTCCATATCTTCAAGCATGATTTTAGGGTTTACATTAGTTTAAAAACTAAGTCCTCAGCATATAATCCATGCCAATGCCTTGTTTGGAGGACATCGACCGCGTAATAATCACGAGAAATGAAAATAAAGCTTTGACGTACCTTTCTTTCTCCATCACAGAGAATCTGAAGAAATCCAGAGCAATTGCATTCAAGTTCCGGCTGGAAATTGATGGCCGGTGGTGGCGAAACCATCTAGAAGAAAGAGACGTCGCACATGAATGATCGGAAGTCGCAATTGCTAATTCGCTTAGGTAAAGGATTTGCCGACCCTCTGCGAGTTGCTTGGTGACGCAGTTGTCGGCGACTTTCTGGAGCGTGCTGATAATCAAAAATCGAATTGACGATCGCAGTACAGACCATGCAATCCATCGTTTAACTCTGCATCGTGCTTTTGTGTATCATATGGACTCGTACAGCTCCCCAATACACATTCGTTACTCTATTTGTTCGGGTTGGTCATGTGCCATTAACATTAATTATGTTCGATTCTCATCGACAATTGTCGTCGTACACACGGGTCGGGTGTTCGAATATCCCGCACTGCGTTCTGGCAGCTCGAGCTTTTGGAGTAAACAGCCAGGTATCTTACTTTGAGTTGGTATCGGAATTAGAGCTCTCGAGTTTGATTCCTTACACATCCCCATATCCCCCATTCGCATGTCTCCCTCTTTCGACCACGCTCACAACGTTTGCATATCTAAGGCCTTTGTCGTCGAGTCGGCCTTCACGTGAGGGAGAGTGCCAAAGATATAAAATATATGTTCTGCATCGCACTCTAACGGCTAACATTGACCGTTGCGCATACCTTATAAGTAGCTAATCGAACGGTCGCATTGTTCGCGCGATATGCCCGTCCATCTTACATGGCGCTTATATCGTGGAATTGCTCGCATCTGATTAAATCACTACGTCGCGTGTCAATGTGACGCGATTTAAATCACATCATGATATTCCTTGCCCCTTTGCAGGCCCGAGGTGCGAAAACAAGCGGCACTCACGGTTGGTGTTCCATCGGTTTATGGTTTTGTTGCTCGTGGATTGAAACCGAAAGATGTGATTTAGTTGAGGCTGATTCAGACATAGTGGTAGGTACTAGGAACCTCTGGCTAATTAGTTTAGGTTCATGTTTTTTTCACCATTTCCTTAATCGGAGGTAATCCCCTCTCATTACTATTTTCTGATTAGTGCACACATTACTGTTCTAAACAAACACGGAAAAACAAATACAAAACACAAGGATTTACATTGTTCGATCACAAGGTGATCTACGTCCACGGGCGAGGCAAAACAAGATTCCACTATAATCAAAGAGAGTATAGTTTTCAGAAGTCGAAAAAACGATTTAACAAAACCTCACGGCTCACAAATCTCTCCCAAAACGAAAATCTCCCTTTTTTCAATGAAAAAACCTAGCCGCAGTATAAATAAGGCTCCTCAAAAAATTTCCTCGGGCGCATAGCCCCCGAGACATTCATTCGCTTGCTCCAGTTTGGGCGAACCGCCATAAAAATTTGTTCGCTTGTTTCGGGTTGGGCCTATCGGCCCAACCCTCCGCGTCACGAACTAAATCTCAATTTTTTTCTCCACTTTTGGGTTGCACAAAATATATGTCGAGTCAGGTGATGAACCGGACCGAGTACATAAAATTCAATACATATTTAACAATTACATATTTGAATATATTTTAATTTATGATTCCAAAGTGCCAAAGGACACAAAATCAAAACTAAATCGGACAACCCCAAAAATCAATCTTGATCTTCCACTCTTTAAACACCTTTGTACAATTTTTGAAATTAGCATATTGGCCTTCAAAAGCAGGTATGAATTTTTTTCAAACGATAATGACATAAATGATTCATAAATTTTGGGCCAATATGCAATATGATCCCTAAAATTTTAATTTATTGAATGTGATCCATCAACTTTAGTTTATGTACTTTTGATACATGTTCAACTTAGTCCTTACATTATATAAAAATATTCAATGTTGTCCTTAAACTTGAATTAATGGAATGACAACAGTAAAGATTTTCATATAGTTAGAGAACTAAATTGAACATTACCAAAAATTCAGGAATCATATTGAAAAGATTGAAAGTTCAGGGATCGCATTGCATATTGGGCGATAATTCAAGAAATTATATTATAAATTAAATCAAGATTCAAGAACCGTTTATTTCATTTATTTGCTCTTTTTCCAGCTGAAGAAATTTGCGCCACGACAAAACAAAATAGCCTTTCATCGGCCCGGCCACTGTATAGCGGAAAGGTCGAGACATTTCGGCAAAGCCAAGCTCAAACAATGGCGTTGTCCTTCTCCTCCTCCTCCCTCCTGATTTCAGAACCCGCCTGCCCTTCTACTTTCTCGACGCCGATCGCCGCGCGCAGAGCTTGTGGAAGACGAGGTCGAGGTTTGATCAGGGCCGTGTCCTCTTCCGGTGACAAGGACGAGGAGCGATCTACTAAATTGGTCACCTTTTTGGGCAAGGGTGGGTCCGGAAAGACTACCTCGGCTGTCTTCGCTGCTCAGGTAAACATGGGTACTCTTCTTTTCTGGTCTTTGTTTGGTTCTTGAATCCGGTATGGTCTTTGGTTTTGGGGTAAATGGTATTGGTGACGTTTGAGCTTGAATGGACTTGGTCTGTCTGGTCATTTGTTTGCCGGCTTCTTGATCTGAGGTTGTGCTCTTGAAAGAGATGAATGCCCCAACGCAATCTGATAGCAAAATTGAAGTGGACCAAATGAATGATTTCATTTTTGTATACTTGCTAGAAAAAAATCAGTTCTTGTTAATTCAGGCGGATGACTTTTCTTGTTTTTTAAGCTCTTGTTGAGCTCTGGACACTCGTATGATGATGTCAAAGTGTGAAAATGTTTGTTGCTGGATTGCTATTAGTATACCATTCTCCTTCCTACACCCACCTTGTTACAGGGGGAGGGTTGTTGTTTTTGCGAAGCTTGGTTAACTGTGGTCTTCGTCATTATACTCATGCCTTGATCTTGATGCTTGCGATCAGCATTTTGCGATGGCGGGGCTTAAGACATGCTTGGTGATACATTCACCAGACACTACTGCTGAGTATCTTTTGAATTGTAAGATTGGAACTTCTCCTATTAGATGCAAGGACAACCTCTCGGCTGTTCGATTGGAGACTACGAAAGTACGTCCTTGTGCTTTTATATTGCTAGTGGCTTAATTGTGTATCTTGCGGAGACTGATGTATCTTTGACGAGTTGACAGATGCTTCTTGAACCTCTCAAGCAGCTTCAGGAAGCGGATTCCCGCCTTAATATGACAAATGGAGTTCTTAAAGGGGTGGGTATGTGATCCGTCTTCTGGTTGTATCACAAAAAAGAAAGAGTTTGGATTCTTTTTGAACACATTTTTATGCCGCCTTCTCCTAAATGTAGTAGGTGGTGGGAGAAGAGCTTGGGGTGCTTCCGGGGATGGACTCCACTTTTTCAGCATTAGAACTCGAAAGATATGTCAGGTTCTTGTGGAATGAATCTCAAGGAAAACAAAGAGAAATATTTGACATGATAGTATATGATGGTATCAGCACAGAGGAAACCCTAAGGATGATTGGCGCACCCAGTAAAGCGAGGTCAGAAGAACTTCTCTCTCTCTCTCTCTCTCTCTCTCTCTCTCTCTCTCTCTCTCTCTCTAAATGCTGTTATTTGGCTACATAGATTGTACTTAAAATACTTTCGAAGCATAGCTGAGAAGACTGATCTGGGAAGATTGGTGGGTCCTTCAGTCTTAAGCCTAATAGATGAAGCCATGAGTTTAACTGGGATCAAATCCACTCTTAACGGTAGCACAAGTGCAAGAATATGGGACGCACTGGATAAAATGTTAGAGGTACTAAATTACTAATCTATTTACATGTGCTTGGCATGCCCCATGATTTTTTTACAACCATCGAGATATTGATTACAAGTAATGCAGAGAGGAACTTCTGCCTTCTCTGACCCGCATAAATTTAGATGCTTTCTTGTGGTGGACCCCCAAAATCCAGCATCTGTGGACTCTGCATTGCGTTATTGGGGTAGCACAATCCAAGCCGGTGCTCTTGTATCTGGTGCTTTTGGTATTGCTCATCCAAATGAAGCTGGAGAATTGACGAAAAGAATTAAAGAGACCTTTGCACCAATGCAATCTACTTTCATTCCGCACCTTTCATTTACTTCCCCAGCAGATTGGGATGCAATAATGTCGAACTCTTCAAGTAATAAAGCACGAGAGCTTCTTTCATTGCCGGCAAGCAGCATTTCGATGCCATCAGTCAAGTTTGATCCAACGAAGAAGTCAGTGACTCTACTCTTGCCTGGGTACGATAAATCTGAGATCAAGCTTTACCAAGTAAGCTCAGCTTCTGTATATCTCTACTTACCATTGTTTCATTTGCATAGACGTTGGTTTTGCTAAGATTTACAGTGTTAGAATAGTATCTTTTCCCCCGTTCTAGAAGAGTGGCGATTTTACTTAAGAATTGTTGAAGGAGACTTTCTAGAAGTCAAGATGCTTATGCTATAGGAAGTCTCTACCTTTGGGTGGGAGGGAGTGAAATATGTATCTAAAGATGCTTCTTCGTTGAGGCGGCATTTAAGAATAATCGAGGTGGAGAACTAGTTTGCATCACGGTAATTATAAGATCCTAAGTATAAAAGCATGCATAAGCGGCAGAGAGATTCTTGGCTTTGCCCCGTAAGTTAATAAAATTCGGTTGACTGTCAATGATGTTAGGTCATGAGCATATAAACTTTTGTCCCTGACCAGTAAGCTAATATGCAATGTCAACAACTTGACAAATGCAGTATAGGGGAGGATCCGAGTTGCTGGTGGAGGCCGGGGATCAAAGACGCGTCATTCATCTGCCGCCAAATATTCAAGGGAAGGTAGGAGGTGCCAAATTTGTGGATCGAAGCCTCGTCATCACTATGCGATAGGGATGCAACTTACTTTTCTCTCTCTTTTGGGGTCTTCTTGAGTAGCTTAAAACTGACCATTCTTTTATCAGACTTTAACAGCACTAGTGGCAATCAATCTTGGAAAATTCGTTTGATTATTGAAATTTTTGACAGCACATGCTGTAAGGTCTTTATGTTCCATTCGTTAAACCGGACTTTCAGCGTGACTGCCCAACAGGAGACTTGAGTTTCTTCTCTACCTTGACATTCGTTTTATTTTTTCAATGTTTGTCAAAGGTGTATAAAAGGGACTCGTTAGCACTACGTGCAGCGCGGCACTTACGCTTATTTGCAGCAGACGGTAAACGGAATGACTGATTGGCCTTACTGAAATCACCACATAGGCACACATTCACAGGCTGATAAGGCCCTCCGAATAAACCCTTTAAATGACAATTATGAAAGTCGTTCCTAAAAAAACATGCCAATTCTTGGTTCTGCCCCTCCCTCCGAATCATCAAAACAGCAACTTAGAAGATGTGAAACTCAAAGTCCCAGCTTGTACTGCAATTTTTGGACTGAATAAGGTTGCCTACGGTATGCCGCACGACTGGGTCAAAAGTATCGTATTTTCTTCATATTTTTTAGACTGGAATCAATTGAATCTTCAGCTTTGCTTTTGAAGGGCTAAAAATACTACTAACTAAAAAGTAAAATCAGGGTTTCCATTCTTAAGAAAAAGGGGTAAAATCAGGTAACTGGCTTTCTATGCTCCATGATATGCCTTCCAGGTTTAGTTCCAGAAGCATGTCATTGAATAAATTCAACAAGATCTCTAGCTCATAATCCACAGCGTATGACAACACATGACATACTTTCTCCTCTTGCTACTGATTAATGAACGATATACAAGTGTATACAACAGAGATCTCGAAGGAAGCGCTTTCATAGACAGTAAGAAAATTGTACACCAAGCCGAAGCATAAGAAAAGAAAAATGACTAAAGAATCTCGAATCTCGGCGTCAATGATACTGTTCAAAGGATTTATCTTCAGACAGTTAATAGACACACAGAGAGGGACATACAGTGCCGGGTGGGGGTTTGGGGGAGAGAGAGAGAGCAAAATCAACGTTCTTTGTCGTGCCAGATGAAGCAAAATTATATCCTATAGCCGCATCTAGCGCTAGAGGGAATGTGTAATAAATGAAAGGTAAATCGGAAGTTCGCAGTTGTAGCTGTTAAGCTAGAAGCATTTCAAGTAGCCACCCACTGCACACCACTTTATCGTGCTTGGCCATCCCATCTCCACCTTCTTCCAATCTCCTCTAGCACCTTAGCACGGGCTTGGCTTTTCCTTGCTTCATCTTCTACCCAAGACCTGTGCAAATCACTTTCATCATGCAGAGGACCATAGAACATGGACAACAAATAGCACTATAGAAGACAGTTCAGTTCTCCCATCACCATTGATGCCGTCATCAGGATAATATTCCTAGACACTAACACTAATGAGAGAAAATAAGCATAATATCAGCATGGACCAATTGATGTCCGCATTAGGTATAGAAAATTCAACATGGACATGGATGTTGGTACTGCTGTCGGTTTCAAGAATGTCTTACGACTCATTCTTGCACCTAGACATGGGACATAACTGTTGAATAAATGTGCAAGACATGGACACTGTGGTTGTACATTTAAAAGCACAGCTAAATGAAAAAGTCCATGGTCAGACTGTCGCACATGGAGATAGGACAGTGAATGAGCACATGCTTAAAGGAAAAATTGTCACGGTATTGGAAATATTTTCCATCATGAAGGTTTGGTTTTAATGCAATTTTAACATCAAAGGTCCACATTGCATACTCAATCTTGGGATGAAATGCCCCATAACTAAGAAGCCATACTTGCACACAATCCGGAACCTTATGAGACTGGTATGTAAGGCTTTTAATAGGAGTTGGAGTAACAATGTTGAGTATGCATGCTTTCAAATTATCCACAGAGGTACATTACCTAAGTATCCGCAAAGCTTCTATCTCGGCTCCCAGAATAGATTTCGTATCCAGCATCCTTTCATGCTTGGTCTCTAAATCACTGATAGTGTCCTGCATCTCAAATTGCTCACGAACATAGATAGCTCTCTCTGATGCGAGCCTGTCTGACATCTCATCAACTTCTTCTCTAAGGTTGTAAATCAATTGCTTCTGACAATCCAAAGCTGCTTTCTCCTTCATACACTCTTGGAAGCTCTTCTCCTGAATTATCTTCTCTTGCTCTAAATCATCAATTGCCACAAGATAAACCTTTTCAACTTCCAAACCACGGGTTTCTTCTTCTTTCAGCTTCTCATCCCAAAGCCTCTTTATTTCACCCCTTTCAATTAACTCGAACCTAATTTCTTCCATCTCAACCAACCTCGAAAAATTCTCAGTCTCCAGTCTTGCTAGTTCCGTCTGAATTGCTGACGTCATCCGGCCACTAGTCAGTGCTACAGCAGCTTGTGCTTTTGTGGATGGTTTATTAGGTTGAAATCGCTTGCTCTGTCCTGTACAATGTGGATTTTTAACACTAATGATCAGATCCACATATGATACTCTCGAAAACTACTTGCACTTAATACATGAATTGTGCTAACTATAATATCCAACCGCTCAATAAGTTTACGAAAAAATGTTGCACAAAACTCCAATAAAATTAACGCAAGGAAAAATTAAGGAGCCAGCATTATTTCTGTTACAAATGTCTGCAGCATGACACTGAAGATATAATTTTAAAAGGATCTGTTCAGAAACTAAAAAACACCGAACTACACTTATAAATTTGCTAGCCATACTAGTGAACACGTGTCAGTGTAGGAAGTGAGAGACTTGGGAGAAGGGTTAAGAGGAACAGACCAAAAACTTTTCTCATTATGCTCCTGTCACCAGCCAACAAGTCCATGAAAAATTCTGCCGGTATATTTGGACTGATCTCCCTCATATCCATGAAGCCAACTTTTTTCTTTGATATCTGGACTGTTAACAAGTTACACTTCAAGTGCTTTAAAACACCAATGAAGCATCCGCATCATGGAAACAAATGTAAACCAGACATGAAGTAATCTGCAAACAATGCATGATGTACTGTACCTCTTCTTCTAGTCCCGGAACAAAATCATATTCTAATTGCACTCTCCAGTTTATCAGATCTTGTCGTGAGATTAATCTGCCCAAAAGATTAATGTCTTACAGTAGGAAGGGAATGTTAAAAAAAGAAAAAACCAAATCATGGATGTGATATACCTCTCAGGAAAGAATAACATGCTGTGCCTATCTGAGAAGAAAGAACTGGAGTTTTCCCCTGAGAGCTTGCTAGAAATGATACCAGCCTCCGCTAGCGCTTAAGTACATATTCAAACAAAAACTCAGATATTTTGTACGTTAAGTAGCTAGCCAACCGAAAAAATAAAACCAGTTTAAACTCACCTTGGATGGCGCCGAAGTCCGGGTCTTCAACACTCACGTCATCAAAGGCAGCAACTTCAGACCCAGAAAGTGACAAGGATGGAACGATTCTACGTTTTGGGTTCCTATAGTTAATTGTTGGTTTAGAATGCTAGACAATCGAATTTTCTAAATAAAGTACAAGAAGTCAAGAATATCCAAAGGAACTAGCTTCAATCAATACCTTTCCAATGAAGAACTTAATCGAAATAGCCATCTAGCATATTCCCTTCTAGTGCATAATTCATTGGCCCTGATGTCTTCCTCCATGATCTGCAAGCCTTAATGGCATTCATGATCATGCTCAGAACAAAATGAACCTTCATAGGTAACAATAGACACCCTCAATGCATTTACCAACCAAAAAAGGGCACTCTCGATGCCTAATATTACAGGTAAGTAAAAGAATTGGAAGGTATTCATGAACATGGTCAGCAAAAATAAGCAACTCAAAAAGAAAGAAAGAGTCCCCTCAAAGCTCTAGTTCTGTCAGTTATGCATCCCAACACTTTCTTAGCAATTTGCCGTTCCTCACAAGACAAACAATATTCTAACCGAAAAACCGAAAATTGACTGAACTTGCCTCATCAAACTTAGACAGGAATGTCATTCGAGACAGAAGCAGCAAAATACTGACAATACTTAACATGAAAATGGGATCAAGAGTGTTATACAAGAGCAACTCGAAGTAAAGATGAGACCTTTCCATAAGTAAAAGGCAAGACTTCCTACACATGTGATTTTCTTTTGCTTCTAGAAACAAACCTTTAGTCTTTCCAGAACCATCACAGCTTCCTGCTGGGTAGAATCTACAGCAACTGGAACTATAACTCGCTCCTGCTTATCCCTTGATGCTGAGCTGTCTGGAGGAAAGGAACTGGCCCAGTCAAAAGTATCCAAATGAACCGATAGGGCTCCAACAAATATCCATCCACACAAATCTTGTCAGACTAAAGATAACTCAACATATGCACGGTGATCCTCTCCATCTAACAAACTGCAAACTTTAGAAAGTCCCTGATAAGGGGGACAGAACTAATCAGAAACTGTTTGACTCGTGAAAGTACCTGAAACCACATTGTTGCTGACTGAATCAGATAAACGCTCTGGGCTATCCTGGGAGAGAATGCTCTTTCCATCCAATAAACCAAAGTCCAATTCTTCACTTGAAACAGCTTCAGTTTCAGTCTGATTCAACAGACTTCTCCAAGAACACAACCGATCGACGAAACGAAAACTATACCCTACAATAACAAATGAAATAATAAACCTGACAAATTGCTCAAACCATCACCATATATGCATTGGCCTCATCCCCAAAACCCATTATACCTAGAGAACCCATATCACTCGCATCAATCAATTCTCTGCCAACTAACTTAGCCTCAAGTGAAGTACAAAACTAGGCAGCTCGAAGAACAAAACACCGAAATTACCATTTCCAGACAGCGAGTAATGAGCAATTACAGCAACTAAAACAGCGAGTGAAGTCCCAGCGGCCCCAATAACATACTTTGGCAATCCTGCACAGCGGAAAAAAAACAATCATCGCGCAAGTTCAAACCATAAAAAAAACGATCTTCGCACGAGAAACCCACGAAGAAACACACCCTTTCTCTTCCTCGGTGGCTGAGATTCGACCACGGCCCAGCCATTGAAATCGGAATCGGAGCTCGCGCAATCGTCGTCGGCCCACGAGAGGCCGAGGCTGCTCCTCTCGGCGAGCGAAGCCGAGAGGCGAAGAAGCGGCCTGCGCCTCGAGCATCGGAGACTGCCGAGCCTGATGACGATGGGGAAGCGGCGGCACGGCGAGAGGAAATGGTCGGGAGGAGCGACCAATGCAGTCGAGAAGGTCATCTTCGCGAAGGGTCAAAACAAAAAAGAAGCGATTTTTAGGGGTTATGCGAACTGGGTATGGAGCGAACGACCGTGATCGGACATGGGAGCGGAGAAGAAGCAGAGATGGAGAAGGTGAAGATCGCAGTGGTTCGGTGACATTCTCAACGAGACGTCAAAATGGGACATTTCCAGATTTTTGCGTTATTTTCCTTCCAACATATTTTGTGTGTGCTCATTTTCGGACAAACATCTGCTCCCTAAAAGATTGTTTTTTTCTTTTTTGGGTCGATGCCCTAAAAGATTCAAATGATAAAATTATAAATCGTTTTCACCGGTGATTAAAAAAAATGGCGGCGGGTGATATGAAGGGAAAATGCATTATAATCATATGTTCAATTTGGAAAATAGTTAGAAAATATTTACAAGGGAATAGCAGGAAAATATTTTCATGGCCAATGCATATGTGAAACTATAATCAATCCAACATTCGAACAATGTGAAATAGAAATTCGAATTCTTTTTAAGGAGTGTATTTCGATAAAGATAAAAAGACCAATTGTCCTTAACAGAAAAAGATTAAATATATCGATTATATTATAGATACGACGCAACAAGTCAATCACATGCGTCGGTGACACGTTTCCTGATCAATTTAGGATTTATATTTTTGAAAAAGCTCATTTCCTGTTCAATTATTTCTCTACTGCCCCTTGTTCTGATTCTCTGAAGTTCCGAGGGTTTGAATAAGAATAGCGAATGGGAACTGGCGAGTTAAATTGAACCCCACTCTCTCCTTCCCTCAGTTTTTTGGCTCTGCACATAGTAAATACAGGTACAGGTAGGTAATGAAAGCATTTATATGGTCATTAAAAACTTCATTCAAGAGTCCTAAAAGTTTAGACAAGGCAATTTGAGGATTTTTCGAATGATCTTCCCTTAATCATCATCTTGCTTTGTGGGTTTGAATCCACAGTGGAAGTTGAAGTGTGGAAAGTACACTCCACAGACGTCAACATTGGCAGAGGCAATCTGAGTCAATGACAAGCAGAACCAGAGCTGTGGCAATTGAGGTATGAAGAGTTGCAATGCAACAGTCGAGCTATTTGCATTGACATCCCACCCACATGGCCACCAAGCTAGGAAGTCAAGTTCTTGGGTTCAGAGTGTGAGTACACGAGCTTGGTTTGGAGAGATTGGTACTTTGGAGAAACTGCGGCCAATATGACGATCCCGCTGAGCAGGGCCAATCCCAGACCGAGACCGTTGACGACCATGGACTCTGAACCGCGCTTGTCTACGTTTTTCATTGTCTGTAGGAAAGTCAACTTCTCTAGAAGTCCGGTCTCCGCTGTGGCCACAGCCAAGCCATAGGTGTAGAGTCCGAGGAAGATGTGCCACGGCAATACCTTCATTCTTATCGACCGCGCCTCTCCTCTGTGCCAGAAGCTCAGGAAACCCATCAACCACTGAAACGTGAACACGAAGAAAAAAAATGTCAGTGCTCAATTAAGATTCGCTAATGCCCTAAAAAACCTCAAATCTTAGCTTTCGTCCCGATTTTATCTTTTGTCTCATAAAAAATCTCCAATTTTTAGGTCATGTCCAAATTCTACCATAAACTTTTTTTTGTCCCATAAAAAACTCTCAACTTTAGGTCTTGTCCAAATTTTACCGTTCAATCCCAATTTTATCCTAAAATTTTTGTAATTTCATAAAAAATCACAAAATTTTACTTGAGTCACAAATCTGCATATATTAACCCTCCATCCAAAATTTCTCGTTGACAATCGAGAGATGGAAAACTCCAAAGCACGAGCTATTCGAGCGTCCCAAGTGCAAGCTCTCCGACCGCGAGAGAAAGCACAGGAGATCAAAGACCGAGTACAAAATCACAAAGGGCGATTATGACGGAGGGTTAATGGAAAGCAAATCTGGGACTCATGTAAACGTTTGTGGTCTTTTATGAGACAAAAAAAAAATTAGAGTTAAATTGAAACTGGACCTAAAGCTGGAATTTTTTATGAGACAAAAAAAGTTTAAGATTAAATTAGCACTGAACCTAAAGTTGTGGGCTTTTTATTAGAAAAAAAAGTTTATGGTAAAATTGGGATTATACCTAAAGTTTGGGGTTTTTTATGGGACAAAAAATAGTTTAGGGTAGAATTGGGACATGACCTAAAATTGAAGGCTTTTTATAAGACAAAAGGTAAAATTGGGACAAAAGTTAAAGACCTGGGAAAACTTTTGACATACAGAAGAAGATCACCCGTGCCTTGAATGCTGAAAAGAAACTAAGAGTTGTCAACAACATAACGTGGCCATACGCGAGTGGAATCATCCACCATCAACCTAAAGGTAAGCAGCTGGTTTTGCTCATTTTACCAACAATATCTTGTTGCGTCACTCGGTGAAGAAGTTCACCATGAAGTTTGCCAGATCTAGATGAATGCACAATTGGACATTATAAAGGTAGTTCAGGATTTTAGAATTTCTGCAATGCCTGAGTGCTGGGAAGCAAAGTTTTGCACTTCACCACCATACGTCAAGGCATCCGCGGGAATTGATTGGGATCAAAGTGAAAATTTAGGAAATCAAAACGCTCTCAAATGGCAATATAGTGGCTTTACATGCTAATGAGAGAATCTGAGGTTGATGCCAAACGAAAAACGAACTCTGATGACTATTATAGAGAGTGTGTTTTTTCTATTTGATAACAGATAAGATTAGGTTTAGTAGTTCAGAGAAATAGCGCATGAAGCGGAGAGAGAAGCATTGTGTTGGTCATGCATAGTAAGGCCCATCATACTAGAATATAGTGAATGGTAAACCCAGCTTGATACTTACTAATGAGGCCCAAAATGGATGCCTAGTTATGCGACAGGCATAGCCTTCTACAGTTCACAAACAAATGGTGTTGAGGGCTACGTGTATCTTGGATGCCTAGAAAAGTTGCGAGATATTTTATCTATGTCATACACAATTTCAGAAAGAAGGATACAATAATGCTATTACTATATTCCCAGGGTATGTCTTTTATAACGATGTCATATACTTCGACATACATTTTTTAACCAAACAAGCCACTATATGATCTGATAACTCCTCTGAACTTGGTCCATGTGATGATCTCAATTAACTACTTAAATCCTCCACCAAGAATCTGCTTCTTTCATCATTCCACGGAAACTGACACTTATGACCAAGCCATTAAACTAATGGTAAAGATGCTTTTGATTATTCACAAATAGGATGAGAACAAAATCTAAATGAAAACAGATACCACAAGCAAGCTGGTCGTCACTAGTCAGCCTTCTTTTTTCTTGTTTTAAAAATACATTTCTTCTTGGCTAACATATCAGGTATCACTTATCAGCTGAAAATCAAACTTAAGTGGCCAAAATACAACCAGCAAGAAATGCAGACAATTTAGGTCAGATTCTAGACTAAAACACACCGTTTTCAACACACTTTATGACTCCTTATCAACTGGTAAAGCTGGGAGCAATTAAAAAATTCGAGAAATGTTTGGCGAGAAAAAATATGACATTGCAATGAGAAAACAGATGAAATCGAAGAGGGAGGGAAAGTGCAAAACCTGAACTCCAAACAAGGAGACGCAGATCAAGCCCATCCAAGAATGCAAGCTGTAGAAATTACCCAAAACCCCATCTTGTCCTTGGAACCTTGTCCAAATGCCGAAAACCCCACTTCCCAGAGCCACTCCTTGAAGCCACAGATGCACCGATTTCTTCATGTTCCTCGAACCAGGCAGCCAGCTGTGGACCAAGATCGCTGAAAACAGAGAAGACCCACATTTGGGGGGGAAACAAGCAACAAAGAAAAGAGAAAGAAATTCAGAGAAAGCAGATTTGCAGATTCACCAGCAAGAAATTCACTGCATCTGGTGTACCTTCTCCACTAATGAGAATGAAGCCAATGACCATGAACAGTGGGTGAAGAACCTGTTCGAAAAAAGAAACACCCACCAGCTCATATCCATAACCAAAAAGCATGCACTGAGAGAGAGAGAGAGAGAGAGAGAGAGAGAGAGAGACGGAGGAAGAGGGAATACAGAATAGATGAGGTCTTCTCGAGAGGAGGAGCGAGGGAGGAAGCTAGATTTGAAGGCGAGAGCCCAGGAGAGCACGAGCATTGCCACCGTCACTCCACAGATTCTTGCAAGCAGGAGGACAAGGAACGGTACAGAAGCGGCAGAAGAATTCCCCATGTAATTCTCGTGTGAGGCCTTGTCAGAGCTCAGAAATGGAGCTCACACTCGCTCAGTTACCAACCACCGACACCCCGAGGGAGTAGAAAGATACGCCGCGCCGGCCGCGGCACGAATGGATCATAAGCAAAGTAGTCCTTTTTATTTTTCCCAAGTTTTGGCAATTTTTTATTCGGAAAGAGGAGTCGCCAAGACAGATAGAGATATATATCCATATATATATTTCTCCTCCTTATGGATTCCGTACTAATTTGGATTGGGATTGGTGCTCGTTGGGGGCATTAATTGGACTAACATGCGACTCACTTAGATTTACTAGAAACTTTTACCTCCGATAAAAGAAAATTTACTACAAACAAAAACCATTTCAGATCCAAGATGGGCTGTTTTTTTCTTCATTAGGTTAGCAGAGGTGAGTCGCGACAAATTGCTCTCAACATCATGGGCCGTTGCGCTGCATTGAGTTATCTATTATGACATGACCGAGGGACGTGAAGTGACGTTGGAAATTTCCTATTATCAAAGCCTCGATAATTCAATGGGTTATGTTTGTTTTGCTTGTAAATTAAGGTTGCGTATGACAACGATTTTGTATTCAGGAACTGATTCTCTTCAGAAATAATTCTTTTTGATTCCGTGCCCGGGAACAATTTCTAAACATTTGAAGGCGTTTGGTAACTGCCCAAAATTTCTATTCTTAGAATAGAAAAAGAACAGAAATGCATTTGGTAACTACGAAAAAAAAATTTTATTAATAATATTTTGATTTTTTTAATATTTCTTTCTTTTTTTTTTCTTTTCCTTCCCTTCCTTGGCCCGTGACCGGCAGCAAGCGAAGAACAACAAACCAAAAGGAAGAAGAAAACTAAGAAGAATCATAAATGAAAAAATTATTCCCAGAATCAAGAAGTTGCTTTTTTTTGTTTTTTTATTCTGTTCCAAAACTGATTCTGAGAACAATTTTTTACAAATTTATGCTTAGGCACAAAAATTTTAACAAACAGATTTTTATTTCCAAACTGATTCTAAAAACAAAAAAACGGAAATTTTTACTATTTGGCAACTTACGCGGGCCTAAATTGTCTAATGTGCTCCTGACTTCTTTTTCAAGAAAAGAGAGTGCAAGAATTGCTTTAAGTCGGAAAGATGAGGAGGAACGACACCGTAGTACCATTTCCAGCCCAGTTCTTGGTTGAAAAAGAGTACCATGAATGCTTGAGACAAATACCAAATGCAGGATCCATGTAAATATGTCTAAGAGAAGCCTGTGAAGCATAAAAGAACATACTTCGGCAAAATTTTATTGCTTTGTTAAGCTGCTTTAGCCAGGTGACAACACTTTGACAAGCTCATATGCCCATCCAATTGCTTCTCCTTCTATTCCAAACTTTTTAGGATAAAATCTATTTCGGGCTCACCCACCTTGGCCTGAAGCCATAGACTCGTCGCCATAGCAGGAGGAAGATCCTTCCCAGGGCGGGGCAAACAGAGATTTACTTCAGGTGTCTCCTCTTGCAATTCCAAATGAGTAAAAGATAGCAGATTACAACAAGATCACCATCTGATATTTCATAAAACTGAAAATCCTGCTTCCAATATTCGTGCAAACAAATTCTTAGCAGAACACATGGCCCCTCAATCGGCTCAACGTTATGAAAGACTGATTAGACTCCAGAAAAAACCAAAAACACAAAGATCAGGAGCATAGAGCTAAGCTAGTTTCCAGTTCCAGCAAGTTATTTAAGCCTCTAATCCTGAGAAGCACATAGGCCACGATAACCTCTATGAAGCCCGGCCGTAAACCGCTCTTCCTCGGCCTCTTCCAGTATAGTTATAACCCCTCCCATAGTAGCCCCGACCACGGCCACCACGACCAGGACCACGGCCGCCTCGACCACCCCTATGCCTTGAGAATTCACCGAAAGTCTGTCGACAACAAATGATACATACAAGTAAATTACGTGACGAGGCCAAATGATAAAATTCAACGGGAACAATACCTCCGTGTCTATCTTCATTTGCTCAGAAAACTTAGGTCTTCCACTGTGTGATCCATGATCAAGCGCATTGCAGGAGAGTGAATCAAAGAAATCATCCTTGTTGTAGACAGTCTGCCCAGCAGAAAAGCATAGTGAAATACAGGAAGAAGCAGCAGGCCTCTTACCACCAAATATTCGGTAGATAAAAGCATCACAAAAACTAGCAATCATACCTTGACCTCCATATTTGGTAGCTCACTATCCTCTTCATCATAATAATTATCCTCATCACTCACGTCGCCCTCGACATCTTTGTCCTTGGAATGACTTTTACTCTTACCAAGGTGACCCCATACTTCATCCTTGTTGAATTTCTCATTCATTGCCATAAAATCAAAATCCTCAGTAAATCTAGTGACTGGACGTGAACCCTGCTCAACATTCAGTTAATGTTTACATAGTCAAACTCCAGGTTATCTTTGGATTTGGAAAACCTACAGACTAGCTGTTAGCAGTTGCACAAATGATATTGCTACTCTATTAAACCAGAAAAGGAGATGTCGCCATCATGGACAGAAATTAAAGCACAAATATGAGTGTCTTACCAGATTAAGTATCACTCAATGTCAAAAACTAATTTCATCTTCCAGTTCTTCCACAAGAAAGACAAATCACCCATAAAACTACTCAATCTTAATACGGAAAGAAAGTGTAGTAATGAACTTAACATGTTAAATCCACTATTGAAAACCAAGGCGTAATCCTTGACGAAATGGAGGGACAAATAGCAGTTAAAACACTTTTGTTTTAAACAAAAACGTGAGGCTTGCGAGCTTTGTCTACTTCCAATTGTCTGAACCCAAGTAATCTTAAGAGACTCAAGTCCCATAAACCACTGCCAACGCATATGAAGCAACAATAACACCGACATGGATAGAAGCACCTATCGAGGGACCCTAAACGAGTATATAGATGGTTTGATTATATAATCATTACGAGTTCTCAAAGAAGTAAGGAAACCGTTTGACAAATGAAACACAGAATAATTACCCGAGCTCCTCTTCCCCTTTCACGACCTCTCTGTCCATAACGAGCCTGATATGGAACTCCATTCTGCTGGTGAAAAGAGACAATCCGTGTCAAAACACCTAGCTCAGATTTATTAAGCAGTTTCGGTGAGACAGAGACTCGTAGTAAGTACACAGCCTTACAAATTACCACGGAGTGGACCAGACAAAACTTTGAACCACACAAAAAGAGAAGAAACTTTCATATTCTCAAAGTGCGAAATGAAAACCGAAAGCATTTTTTATCACAAAAAAGCATTTTAATTACCGGCTTCAGGCCAGTAGTAATTAACATGAATAGATTATTCATGTTATTTACAAGATAACCAATGATAAGAACACGGAGTGCAACAAGCACACGACATGCTTCAGGCCAGTAGTAATTCACATGAATAGATTTATCTCAATGTGCCTTATATACTCAGCATAATTTTTCAGAGACCACTAAGTAGATGCAGAATCTTAAGCTCAGAATGAAACTATGTGCAGATAAACAAAAATACAAGTACATCGGTAAACAAGGAGATTATGCTTTCGGACATGTGCCATGTGCGTTCAAATTTAAAATATGCATATAGAGAATACAACCTTAAAACCACCACGTGCAGGTGAAGGCAAAGGCAATATAGGAGGTTGAGCTTCTGATGCAACAGGTGCCAATGGCTTTGGTGATGATGGTGAGACTTGAACCACCTCCACATCCTTGTGAGCAATTTGTGAAGGTTGAGAAGAAGGGGTGGCAGTGGGTCCAGACTGCAGAAGCTGACCGGGCGTTATCAATGAAGGTATTGCTGCTGGTGTTGGTATCTGTATAGGAGCTTCTTGATTGACAGCATTGGATGGCCCCAAAATGGAGGAAGTGGATTGAGGAGTACTTTGATACTGCAAGGTTGGACCAGCAAATACATTGGGCTTGTTAGATATAGGGAGAATTATGTTGCTAATCTCCGGAGTAGTCATCAGAGGAGGGAGCGATGGCAAATTAGCACTCAGACTGACTGCAGGAAGGGCAGGGATCAGTGCCTTATTGAGCATGACACTCGAAAGGGAATCTGAAGATGTTGTAGCTGATGGAACAGTAGAGAGAGTTGATGGCAGAGTAGCAGATGAGGAAATGGAAGTCATGTTTAGTGAACTGCTGCTAACAGGAAGCAAAGGAGGTGGGACATCTGGCAAGTGTGGACCTGGCAAGCTCGAAGCTCCGGCAGGGAAAGAAGTATTAAAGCCAGGATACTGCATTGGCAGCGGCAGAGGAGGAGGCATAGACAACCCTGGTGGTGGCCGAAGTAGAGTCTGCTGATTAATATGAGGAAGCCCATTGGGAGGATAATATCCTTGCCAATACATAGGCATAATCCCACTATTATTTGCACCTGGAGCTGGGGAAGCTCCCCATGACCCTATATTCCCCCCAGGTGGTTGATATAAAGGAAGGCCTCCTTGAAAGTTCGAGGCAGGTAGTGCCATCTGTGCCGTGTTGGAGCCAATATCGCTTAAGGGTCCACTAGGAGCGGGAGGCAAACTTGTAGCTGTTGAAACCGGACGAGGGTAGTGAGACTGCCAAAATGTTAAAACACAGTAATGAGATTCCATTTACTTAAATTTAGAGTAAAATGTTTTCCACCCAAGTACCTGTATGATTGCTGGGTCATTATTGATAGGGGGTGGGGGTGGGGGTGCAGGCTGAACAGGTGGAGAGGATTTAACCTGCAAATCCTGCAAAAAGAGAAGCACAGAGAACTTAGCGGACGAGAGAACATGAGAAACGAAAGCTTAGCTACATTACCAGTACATATCACTTCTGAAGGAAAGGCCATATGAAAAACAATAAACGAAACGGGTTAAATTAATAGTGAAAAGGATTCTGCAGCTATGTCAATCATTGTTAAACAAGTGAGCTGGCTTCATATTCCACTTCCAACTCTAGCTTCCAAACAAAAAAAAAGGAAGGGCAAACAGAAACCAGAAATAGTTTAAGCCAAGCCACATGAAAAGGATTCTGTAACCATTTTTTTTGTTGTTAGTACATGAGATGGCATGATATTCTACTTCCAATTCTAGCTTCCACTTGAAAGAAAAAAGGAAGGATGAAACACAACATAGGCTTTGTTTAACGCAAGCCACGTCAAAAGGCTGATGCAACCAGAAATTACAGAGAAATTATGCATTGTGAGTTTGAGACTATAACCCAGCTGATACAGATGAAGAGAACAAACTGTCGAATGCCCCGAGTTACAAACCTTTTTGGGATTCTATTTTGGAATTTGCTTGAAGAAATTAAAACAAACACTCATTCTATTATTCATCACTATGAACATACGTTCATGCACGTAAAACATACCTTGATGTCGCTTCCTCGGAACAATATGTATTCGTAAACTTTATCACTTGGTGGGACTGGTGGTCCATCTTTTTTCCGTCCTTCTGTTCCAAATGACCGTACTGCCAAAAAGGAAAGGGACAACTCAACATCAATACATAATTGTCCATGCAAATTTGACAAACAGCATTTATCAGGAACAAACACCAGTAATTACTACAACATGATAGACACCAATAGTTTGCAGCACGCTGTTGGAAGAAGTATTTACACGGATAAACACACAATATAGATATCCCAATATTTAAATCCTCAATATCTGAGTGTCGACCACTTCAGTAAATTCAGCTATTGCAAACAAATATATGCATACAAAAAGAAAATATCACGTGTCATCTACTGCATCCATAAGGAATGGAACAAGTATTAGCTACTCATACGACACAGCTCAATACCACAATTCCATGCGATTACGTAGGCCGTGCGCAGCGCATCGACAACTCTAGCTACTGCTGTGATTTGGGCAAGAATATTGCCCCGTCTTAAATGTATCAGGCCACATTGAATAAGATGCAGCAAAATCCAATTTACATTGCACCGTACTATCAGTGTTTTTGATACTAGAAAACGTTCCTAGTCCGAAATGCGCACCATCTGACTTGAAATCAACCCTGGAGAGACGGCACAGCTATGCAGATTTAAAAGCAAGCTTGGACAAACAGCACAATTATGCAGACGCCATTTTCACAGTTCTTCGCTTAGCGAACACTCATCTTTTCCTTTTAACGTATCAGTCACTCAGTGATGATTCCCTAAACCAAAATGCGCGAATGGTAGAGTATCGGCGGCGGAACATCTCGATGAACAAAAATCGCGACACCATGACTGGCTTAAAACCGACACAATCAACAAGAACGAGGGCATCATTTTCCTCCCTTTTAGCACTGACAGCGATAAAAAAAAACAAAAAAGAAAAAAGAAAAGCTAAAAGCTCCTCCGTCTCATCGTCTCAAAATCAACTTCGACCAAGAACCCACTCAGCAAAACCCAGGACGACGCCAAAACCCCAGATCGCCGACCCAGATTAACCCCCGAAACCACGCGCGACACCCCCGCACGCGTCCCCTAAAAGAAAAGCTAAGAAGGGCCCCCCCCCCCCCCCGGAAATTACCATTTCTGAGCCCGATGCTGGACTCGTCGGTGTTAATGTTGTAGAGGACGCCCTCGTATCTGATCTCGCTCTTCGACGTCAAGCTAATCAAGCTCCCGATGTACGAATCCGCCGTCGAGCTCGATCTCGCGGAGGAGCTCTCCGTCGCCATGCCGTCTCGCCGGGGCCCACCCGAATCGGACCTTTGCGCAATCGGGAGGGAAGGGGGACGGCGGCCGGAGCTCTCGATTTCCTCGCCCGCCCGCCCGCTCGAGGTCAAAAGGAGAGAGAGGGAGGGAGAGAGAGAGAGGGAGAAATCGAAACGGTCGATTTAGGGTTTTGAAAATTTGGGGATTTTCGGGGAGCGGGGGGGGGGAGGTTAGAGACCTTCGTTGCGTGCGTGATTTAGCTGCGCAGATCTTTATATAGGGGGGAGGCTCTTCGGAATTTTGGGGGGTGTTTTTATTGTTTTGCCTTCTTTTTTCTCCCAGATTTTCTTCTATAAATTTCAGTTTCCCCGGATTTTCTGACCAATCGGGGACCTCCACGTCGTTTTGGATTTTCTTCTGATCTCCCTTTTTTTTTTTCTTATTTCTCTCTTCGTAGGAAATGAATTATGGGAAGCGGCTTTTGATCCGTAAGCCGGCGAAAAAAATCAAGAGAAATGAGATAGATTATGTTATTTTTTGGCTCCTTCGATTTTAATCGGATTTTCGAGCGTCGATGGAAGAAAATATGATTGTTAGGGTTAATCTCGTATGAAAAATCGAAATGACGAATTACTCGGTGAAGGAAACCATGAAAGATGATTTTTCTCCTAAAATTTGTTTGAGCTTTTTTCGGATGATTTCGGTACGGGAGAATTGAATGAAAAACTACCCATTAAAGAAAAAGATATAGAGAAGCATGAAGATGATTTTTCTCCTAAAATTTCCGAAGGATTCTGGTGTAGGAAAATGCTTTGTACCTCTATTACCATGCTTCCTACGTTTTTTACGCGTGTGATTTTCTCCGGCATGGAAGTATTTTGTATATCAAAGGACTGCATCTCCCGTCGACTTGTAGGTGAACAGTCGCGTTTGGGTTGAAATGAAGCTCGAGCGCCGCTAATTCTGTCCTCCTCCTTTGTCCGCATTTTCATACCGCACTGTATCATCGTTGACTCTGACAGTTGCGCCTATCGGCAACAAGACGATTGCTTTCTGCACACCACTAAGCACCGCTATTTAACGCAAAAATTCGCCCGATATTTTAAAATACTATTATTACGGCAATGGCCTACTACATCTACAATCTTGCTTTTTTTCTTTTTACGGTAATAACCATTATTATATGTTAATCCCTATTTGGGATAAAGTACAAGTTATTTTTAGATGATATCATGTTCTCTCTATTATATTATCGTCGCAAATTGTTATTAGATTTAGATCTCATATGAATAGTGTGTTTGGAGCAATATTTGTCTATACTTTCTACTTTTCGGCATTTCGAATTAGGCTTTTACATATGCAAAATGTACTAAATTTGTAAGAGTATTTACAATCACGCAAACCCCTAGTAACTTTTCAAAATTGATAAATATATATATATTTTTAGCAAAAAAAGAGCGAAGTATTTTTTTTTTTACTGTTAAAAAAAATGGAAACAAACATGCCCTTCATTTGATGAGTTGCAAGTAAAACAGACCATCGATTTCCGGAAATATTCCAATGCTTATCCCAAACCTCCACCTAAACTTTCTTCTGTAAATAATTATTGGATTTCTTCCCATTTTGGGGCCACTTAAACTTTTTCGGTAATATTATTGGATTTCTTTCCATTGGAGCCCACCTCGAGTTTTTTCAATAATTCTTGGATTTCTTGCCATTTGGGGGTTTTTCCTTTTATTGTAATATGAGAAATTTATTTAGCTGCCGTTACTTTCAGATTTCTTAAATGTTAATTAACTTCCTTAAAATGTTTTTTTTTCTGGAGACGGCAAGCTTTGGTCAAGATGGCTGTGTTTGTGCAATCTCAACACATCTTGCTTGTGGTGGCAAGTAATTAGTTTCGAGATCGATTTTCAGATTTGATTTTCATATACCTCGTCGGAATTATCGGTGAAATAATTTAAAGTGATCGGTTATATGGTAACGTAGCGAAGATTTTACTTACACTATTTTTGAAGTCTCGATGCAAGTATAAATTAAGTAGTATGCTAAGCCCAAAAAGAAAAAAAAAATCTTTGTTGCTATGAATTAAAACAATAATTATTACAGCTCTTCCCTAATTATTGGGATAATGCATCAACAGTTCTCGATTATTCGTGTAGCATGCGCACTTAAAAGATACGGCGCTTGTAAGGCATCTTCGTACAGCGTTACCGGCGAAAATGAGCAAGAATTAGAAACTTTGCCATCTTTACGTGTTATCTCGAGCGTAAATAATCTCGTACTTAATTCATTCACTTCGATTCGAGCTGGAGTTTAACTCAGGGTGCGTTTGTTTTGCGAAAAATGAATGGTTTGAAAAATGTTTTTCTAAAAACGGTCTCTTATATCGCTCGCAAAATAGCAAATATGAACAAATGAAACGAAAATGTTTAGATTAAAATAAACATTTGTCATTGACTAGTTATTTCAAGTGATATAAGCAATTCTTTTTAGAAAAATATTTTTCAAGATCATTTATTTTTCACAAAAATAAAAATAGAGCCTTAATTATGAAGTATTTTGTGGATTCCTTATATAGTCACGTGAAAGGTGAAGCTCCACTTCAAATTAAAAAAAACTATATTGTCCATGGAAATATTTTTGCTACCGTATTTCTTTATTCTTTATGGAAAGAATTGCGAGGGGTGGTTGTTGACGAGAAACTTCGCCCATGAAAAAATTCATTATATACTTTAATAAAGTTCGGCCAAAGTGATTGAGGGAATTACTAATTATACTAACGTTAGTCCACAAAATTGGTACTCTATGCATTGGAGTGGAGAACCAAGGCTCTCTTTATTTACATTTTCTTTGGGCCAGTATCACAGTTTTGATAATTATCGCGGCATAAATCGATTGAAACGAAAGACACCTCAATTTATTGTTTAATATACGGATAACTTAGGAAATGATCCGTTTTCTTTTATTTATCAAGACCGATATTGGAATAAATGGAGAAGTAATATGTTTTTTTCTTAATTCCCCCTCGAAAATTCCGAAGAAGAGAAAGAACGTCATTTACAATTTGACAAATAAGAAGACTCAAACTACTCTCTAAATATTAATAATTATACACTTTTTAAAGGTTCAAGGCGAATGATTTTGACTAAATAAAAAAGTTTCCAATCCACAATCTTTTTTAGGAAAAAGCAAAATGCACGTGTAACACAACAACATGCGGGGATGAAAATTGGGAGTCTTGTTTTTTCGTTAATTCTAATAAAAGGGGGGAAAAGAAAAAAAACAACACAACCTTTTCTATATTTCGAGTAAATTTTAGCCACTGCATAAATTGTTGTTTTTCCCGTTTGCGGCTCCGCGTCCCTCCGACGGAAATAGCCGCCCCCACAAATAACCCTCCGAGAAACCACCACCGAACGCGAAATCGCCACCGCTCCCCCACCTCTCCATCTCCCATCCTCCATCGCCTCCATCGCCTCCCTCCTCTCTCTCTCTCTCTCTCTCTCCTCCTCTCCCTGGTTCTCTCCCGTTGCGGCGCGCGAGCGAGTCGGGCCGCGGCGTTCCCCCCCCCTGTAGGGTTTCGCAAGAACGCCTCTTTCCCGTGCCTCTCCGCATCTTCTCCTTGATGGGTCTCTGAGGTTTGTCCGGGGGGGTGGTTTCGGTTCCTTTTGGTTTCCCGTCGGCGGCATGTTTACTCCCCAGAGAAAGGCGTACCCGGCGCTCTCCCTGACGCCGCGGACCGAGGCCGCGAGGGGCGGCGGCGGCAAGGGGAAGGCGGTGGCTTCCCTCGACGGGCCGCCGCCGCGGGCCGCCGCCGCCGGTGGCCTCGCTGGGTGGGAATGGGATGGGGAATGCTGGGTTGGAGGATATGGAGGACTGGAGGCGGTTTAGGGAGGCGGGTCTGTTGGACGAGGCGGAGATGGACAGGAAGGACCGCCAGGCGATCGCCGAGAAGGTCACCAAGCTCGAAAAGGAGGTAAATTTGATGGATATCGTTGATTGTGGCTTGTTGCTTTTTAAATATTTCTAAGGCTTGGACTTAGTTAATTTACCTTGGCCGAATAGGTTCTTGGGTATCAGTTGCGCTAGAATGGTTAGCTTTTGTGGTATTTGACCGAATCTTGTGTGGATAGTTGAGTTCGGTGCTTTAGAGAGAGTGAGAGGGAGAGATAGAGAGGGAGAGAGAGAGAGAAGGGAGCAGTGTCTAAGGAATGGGATAAATATTTTACGAGATAAACCGGGCATAGTAAGTTTTATTTTTTATTATTGACGGGTCCCATACTTGTTCCTTCGAGTGTATGAAGCTGTCCTGGGTTGGTAGTTACTTCTTGCAGTAGTGTTATAATGTTTTGTGCAATTATTTGCTGGATGGAAATTTTGTTGTGTGTAGTTACCTACCCGAGTGAACAGAGCATGAGATGCAGTTTGGGATAGGTGGGCTCATTGCTTGTCTAACATCTGATCCATTGACAAAACAAACTGATTAGTTGGATGGAGATTGTGCTATGCGTATATACCCATCCCGAGTAAGCGGAGCATGAGGTGCAGTGTCGGATAGGTGGGCTTATTACTTGTGTAGCACCCGATTCATCGACAAATGAAACCCTCCTAGATGAGATATTATGCTCCTCTGTATGCAGCGAGACTTTCAGATGTCAATAGATGTGAGATGCCACTGGATCACCTCTTTGTTTGCTACAATTCAAGAAGCATCTTGTCCTATTGAGTGCATGGCATGGGACATGAAAGAAGATGGATGCCATAAAGTGTCCAGTTTGTCCTGACATGACTAGTTAACACTTTATTAGCCTTTTAATGGACTTAGCAGTTTAGCAGTAACGAGACTTATCAAGCTACTTTGGGGAACACTACCTTCCAATCCTTTTACTTAAATTACCATTTCCGTAAGCAGGGCTAGTTGGAATCCCAAAAATATTTTAGGAGAGTTTTGGGGTCTTTTGGAATTTGTCAAAGTGTGTGGCAAGATGAGCCTCTCTAATACGGCTCAAATCGAAACTGATATTTGGCTCAATCCTGCCGAGATGAACATGCAATATGTTGCTTAATACTTAACATTTCTCATTTGATGATTTTAATGATTTGATGTCTGCTTTAATAGTTGGAAGAATTGTGTCTGTTATTTTGGATGATGGCGTTGTTGTATTATCGTGAGGTTCACAGTGGAAGTGTACTTTCGCCAACATTTCAATGTGCAATTGCAACAAAATCTCATTTTATTTGTATATTTAGTGTTGAATTAGGTTAAGCATTTGACATTTAGGAATTGATTTCTCTGAAATTCTTATATACTGAGATCTAGCAGTTGTTAACCTAAACTCTTTTGGCAGCTATTTGATTATCAGTATAATATGGGGCTGCTTCTGATCGAGAAAAACGAGTGGAATCTGAAGTTTGAAGAGTTAGGTCAAGCATTATCAGAAGCACAACAGCTCCTCAAACGAGAACAGTCTGCACATCTGATTGCAATGTCTGAAGCTGAGAAGAAAGAGGAAAATCTGAGGAAAGCCTTGGCTTTTGAAAGGCAGTGCATAGCAGATGTATGCTACTTCTTGCTGATAGTCTTGCGATTTGAATTTTCTCTTATTTAATTGCTCTAGATTTTGCATTGCATTTTAACAGTCTTATAGTTTGGAAATACATTCAACTAATGACAAACTGTCTACTGAATTTGTGTTGCCAAAATTTCGTTCATGGGCACTAGGGATTGCTAAATTGGATAGTTTAAAGGTAAAACAAGCTCAATCGCGAGATGATTCTTCTATGATCTGACAGAACGACCGAACTCCCGGTGGAGAACTCTTGCTGGAGCACTAGTTTGATTCCGATTGCCAAATTATGTGTTGCTATTCATCTTATAATTCTGGAGATATAAGATATGAAGAAAGCCTTGGATTTTGAAAGGCAATGTGTGGCAGATGTATGCTACTTCTCGCCGATAGTCTTGCAATTTGAACTTTCTGTTATTTGAATGCTGTAGATTTTGCATTGTATATATTTTAATTGTCTTCTATTTTGGAAATACGGTCAACTAATGACAAACTGTTTGCTGAATTTGTGTTAACAAAACTTTGTTCATGGCCACTAGGGATTGCTAAATCGGATAGTTAAAAGGTAAAGCAAGCTCAATTGCGAGATGATTCTTCTTTGATCTGACATAAGTGTGGAGAACTCTTGCTGGAGCATTTTAGGGTGCATTTGGTTCAGCATTCCCAAGGGGCTTTCGGTCCCTTGGGGAAATGCTGAGGCGTTTGGCGAGCATTTCCAATTAGTTTTTGGCCGAAAGTCAGCATTGGGAATGCTGAAAACCCAAGGCTGGTCCGGACCAGCTTTGAGCTTCAAATGCTGAAACCAATTTTTTTTCTTCCCAAACTACGCTCAATTTCCTACAACCTGACCCTTCACAGACATGAAGGTATTTGACTGCACTTTCGAAGACATAAGAGTAGCAGGACATGCATATGGATGTTTTAGGCAAATTTATGTCTAGGGTGAATAATAGATTGACAACGTTGGTTTTAATATGTGGCGCTGTGGGACCAGATTTTCTTATTTTAGTATAAAAAGTCAAAAATTATCTTTGTTTCTGCCTTTGCCATAGTCGCACTGCAAATGGGAAGGTATAACAAGAGCCATTCTTCGACTTGATTGTTTGAATATATCTACTCTCATTTGAGCACCGGAAGTGAATGTGATCAGCATTTGAAGTCTTCCATAATTTTGTTACATTGATGAACTTCGTTTATGCAGCTCGAGAAGGCTCTGCATGAAATACATAATGAGCAGGACCGAATAAAGCTTGATTCTGAGAAGAAGTTGGCTCAAGCGAGTGCTTTGACTACTGGAATTGAGGATAGATCCTCGGAGGTGAAAGAGAAGCTGCATGACGTTGATGCCAAGCTTGCAGAGGTTAGCAGAAAAAGTTCACAATTGGACTTGAAGATGCAAGAGATGGAGGCACGCGAAAGTGTACTTCAAAGGGAGCGTTTGTCTTTGAAAACTGAGTATGCTCTTTTCAACCTGTGCATTTTATGCATCATGCATGATAGTGTTGTTTACATTGCTATAGTTGTAAGAAATATTTAACAAGCGATGTTGCAAATCTGCCGTTTTTTGGCAGGCAAGAAGCACACAAGGCCACATTTTATAAACAGAGAGAAGATTTACGAGAGTGGGAAAAAAAGTTGCAGGAAAGGGAAAAGAAGCTGTGTGAGGATAGGAGAATCCTTAACGAGAAGGAGGAAAAGGGCAATGAAATTGACCAACTTCTTAGGCAGAAGGAGAGGGATATTGAAGAAGCTTATAGAAACATGGAGTCATCCAAATCAATGTTGTCTGAGAAAGAGAAACATATAAATCAAAGTTTAGTGGACTTGGCTGCAAAAGAAAAGGTAAGTTCACTGTGCAATGCTGCTGGTTCTCCTGTCGGTCTTTGCAATAAACCTACACCATATTTTTCCAGTAGTTGCTTAGTTCACTTTTCAATATGGCTGCAGGAAGTACAGTCAGAAGATAGCATTATAAGATCAAAAGAGGAAAGGCTACTTGCATTGGAGAACAAGCTGAATCTGAGAGAAAGTGTGAGTTGAATGCATAATCTTTCTCTAGAAATTACTGTTGTATTACGTATTTTCAAAAGTTTTCAAAGATGGACTTGGATTTGATAATTTTTCTACTAGTGATCATTATTTTGTATGTCAAGGTGAATAGTATTCATACTTCATTCATTTTCTTGTCAATGTTGGATAAGTTCTTTTTGGACAGAATTGCTCTATTATTTTGGCAAGTATAGTCCAACTAATATATAAAATTGCCGTGCCTCATGCTTCTTGTCCTTGTTTATAATGCTGCTAATGATTCAACACAAATATGATTAGCTCGAAAGGCATTTTCTTCGTGGGAAAGGGAAGATAATGATAGTTTGGCAACTCATATTCTTGTGCACTGAGGATTGATGTAGCAGTCAATTTTTAAATGAGTATAGTTTTTTTGTTAATGCTTTGCAAGAACTAATATTTCGTGCTAAATCACTCAATAGTTAATTGACTAGACCCAATCCCAAGTTGCTTGGTGTTGTGAATGTTGGATATTAGTTCTTACACAGGATAAAGCAGAACTAGTACTGGTAAGTAGAAACAATTTTTATTGAATAACTTATTTTGTGAATCATGTCAGTGAACATTTTTATGCATAGGGGTTTCCTTCCATGCTTGTGTGTTGATCGCTCTGTCCTTTGGGGTAATTTGTGAGCTTAAGTGTAGGTGCCCTATGTTTTGTTTTCTATTCACCTTTGTTTCGATTGATTTTATTTAGGTAAGTTTTATAATGATATTTTCCACTTTAGATGATTGGAGGGATGGGATGATATGGCATGTTATAGCTCATGTCTAGCAGTGTAGAATTGATTCCTGCTTGCTGTGCAGGTGGAGATCCAGAAACTTGTTGATGAGCAAAAGGCTACCTTGGATGGTAAAATGCTCAGCTTTGAGACTGAAATGGAAGAGAGGAGGAAATCTTTTGACAAGGAATTCAAAATCAAGATAGAAGAAATTGAGCGGAAGGAAGTTGAAATAAACCACAAAGAACAGAAGCTGGGGAAGCGAGAGTCTGCTTTGGATGCAAAGACAGAGAGATTTAAGGAGAAAGATAAGGAACTTGAGTCAATGTTGAAAATATTGAAAGAAAAGGAGAAGTCGATGAAAGCTGAGGAGAAGAAATTGGAGGTGGAGAAGAAACAGTTATCTGCTGAGAAAGAGGCCTTAGAGAATCTTAAAGATGAAATCGAGAAAATAAAAGCAGATATTGCTGAAAAGAAGCTGGAGATAAAAGAGGAGAGTGAAAACCTTAGATTAAATGATGACGAGAGGTCGGAACATCTCCGCTTGCAAGCAGAATTGAAGATGGAGATAGAAAAGTGCCGATCTCAGCAGGAATCGCTTCTTAGAGAAAGTGAAGAGCTGAAAGAAGAAAGAGAGAAATTTGAGAAAGAGTGGGAAGCCTTGGATGTGAAAAGAGCTGCAGTTATTGAAGAGCAAAGAAAGTTTCTGGAACAGAAAGAGAAGTCAGGAAAATGGCAGTCTTCTGAACAAGAAAGGTTGAAAAGGGAGAAACATGAAATGGAGGAGTATATTCAGAGGGAGTTGGAAGCGATAAAACTGGAGAAAGAATCATTTGCTGCCAAGATGAAACACGAGGAATCTGATTTATCTGAAAAAATTCAGAATGAGCGCAATCAAATGCTCCGGGAGTTTGAGTTGATGAAAGCGGATCTTGAAACTAGTCTTCAAAAGCGGCAGGAGGAGACAGAGAAAAAGGCGGTTCTTTTGGAGGAACAATTTCAGCTAGAGAAGGAGAAGGAGCTTAAAAACATAAATGAGTTGAAAGAAATTGCTCTGAGAGAAATGGATGAAATAAGGTCTGAGAAGCACAGGATAGAGAAAGACAAACAGGCACTTGTGTTGAATAAGAAACAGATGGATGAAGATCAGATTAAAGTGCGTGAAGACATTGATCAGCTATTTCTTCTCAGCCAGAAGCTGAAGGATCAAAGGGAAGAGTTAATTAAGGAAAGAAGCCGCTTCCTTGCGTTTGTTGAGAAGTTCAAGAGTTGCGAGAAATGTGGAGATGAAGCTAGAGAATTTACACTCTCTGATCTACAGTTACCTCAAATGGGGGATAAAGAGATTCTCCCGCTGCCTAGGCTGGTGGAAGAGTTGTCAAAGAAGCCTTGTAGTAGGATGAGCCCTTTTGGTAGATCACTCTTGGAAAAGTCTCCGGATGAACTTGGTTTGGTTCATTCAGATTCTGGAAGCCATATGTCTTGGCTGCGTAAGTGCACATCCAAAATCTTCAACCTATCTCCCAGTAAAAAAATTGAGGTTGATCCTGCTTCTCCACAGTCCCATAAAAATTTTAACCTGGAAGAGAACCTTGGAAGGTTGAGTATGGCTGGAAACGAGGAAAAAAACAAATGGCATGGCACTATTGAAGATGAAGCAGAAACATCATCGGGAAAAGTTGAGGCAGCAACTTTCAACCAGGAATTTAAGTCTGTTGACATCATTAAAGAAATTGATGGTGGGCATGCGCCATCTCTTGATGACAGTAGCCATCTGCATGATCAGATGCCTGATCTGCCAGAAGATTCTCAGCATTCTGAGGTGAAAAAGAGTCGACGAAAAGGCGGGAAGAGAAACAATGGAATTCACAGGACAAGATCAGTGAAGGCAGTGGTTGAAGATGCCAAGGCTTTTCTAGGCGATGGGTCAAAGGACACGCTGCTTAATGAAACGAGCAAGGTAGACCAGGCTGATTTGGTTCATAAGGGGAAAGCAGTAAGTAATGTTCCGAGGAAGCGGCAACATGCAGAAAGCTCTCAAATAACAGAAAGTGAGCAGGATGGGGGTGATAGTGAAGGACCCTCCAATAGTGTTACGGCTGGTGGGCGTAAGAAGAGACGACAAACTGTCCACGCGCCAGCAGTGCAGACTCCTGGGCAAAAGCGATACAATCTCAGACGACAGAAAATGTAAGTGAATACCCTAAAATCTTGTGCATGACGTTATCTTAGCCTTGCCATAAGGCAAATTTGGTTAAAGTTGTTGCTGACTCATTAGGACTTTTTGTGCCGGCATCCAGCAGTGCAGGCAATGTGGCAGTGGAGGAAGCCTCAGTTGACTTAAATCAAAATGGAAAAGTAGAAGCTGCCAGTGGAGGGGAAGAAGGAATCACTGGAGAAGATAATAACGTGCCATCACAAAACAGTGATGAACGTCATAATCAAATGCACTTGACACAGGCCGCAAGTTTGAGGATCGTGGAGTTATCACAGCAGAAGGTTGTCAGGGTAAAGTTTCTGTCATCCCCAGCTCCAACCATTCCAGAGTGGAGTCCATTGAGCAACAATTAAGGCATACATAAGATAGTTCTTGATTTCGCTTGTTGTTCTCATGCAGTTTACGGCAGTAAATGTTGTTGATGACAATGTAAATTCAGCCAAGCCAGATGAAAATGAAGAAACGGTTGGTTCGGAGGAATTGTCTGGTGAAGATGAGAATGGGAGTGCACTTAATGAGGCTGAAGATGATTACGATGATGAGTTGGAGCATCCTGGTGCAGCGTCTGTAGGAAAGAAGATCTGGAACTTTTTCACTACATAACTGCCGAATTTGCAGGAGCTTTGCCTCAAGTGCTCCCTCTATTGACATGCAGCTTGAACAGCAGGAATTGGCTGGTCAAAATTGTAAAATCGTAGATTAAATTCTTTACCACAATAGGGACTGAGCATCTTCTTTTCGTTCTACCCTGTATCTTTCATGAGTGTAGGAGGCATATAGGTGCTTTGGAGTAGTTTTTGTCCGTTCCTTTTCTCCCAAGTTCTTAGGTACATAATTGTTGCCGGTCGGCACACCTAGATGATATTATGAATTTATCGATGGCAAATAACTCAAATTTGTGGAGTGACGAAGTTGTGGCATGATTGAAGATTTGTTTGCAGCTCTGTTATGCGAAAAGAATTGCTTTGAAGCCTTTTAAAAACTCATTTTGCTGGTGTCTCCGAGAAAACTCAGCTGTTTCAGGTAATTTCCTCGTACTTAAAAGTCTCAAATACATGCTCTTGTGCCCTTCACTAGGCACGGGTCGAGAACAGGTTTGTGTTTTCTTAAATTTGGCCTAATCTACTCATGGTCCTGCAGTCACAACTTCTACTCCACTATTTTACTTTTGGTTAGTAAAATCAACGGCTTTATGTGCACATACGAATTGGTAAATTCATGCGGATGTTGCAGTAAAATGACAACAAATGTGCCCTTACTCAGTATGCACTAATGAGGAATGCACTATTACCATGATGAAAATGAACTGCGGAATTTCATGTATCATTTTTAAGCAATCTGTCAAGTGATATAAGCGAACATTCTAAGGCTACGTATTGACAACGATTCTCGCCTCTGAAATGCATTCGCCTAAATGATTCTTTTGATTCTGTGCCTGAATTGATTCCGAGCATTTTAAGTGTTTGTTAACTACCAAAATTCTATCCCTGAATAAAAAGAACATAAACGCTTTCAGAATGCCACAAATTTCTTTTTATTAATAATATTTTTAAATATTTTAATATTTCTTTCTTTTTTTTCTTTTCTTTTTTCTTTTCCTCCTGGCCATAGCCTGCTCACTTGCCATGACCTAAGAAAAATATTTTTTATTAATAATTTTTTTATTAAAAGTATTTTTTTTTTTTTGCCATGGCTTGGTCGTCGGCCATGACCGTAAAATATTTTTTATTAATATTTTTTATTAAAATATTTTTATTTTTTTGGCCATGGCCAGTAAAATATTTTTTTATTAATAATATTTTTTATTAATAATATACATTTTTTTTTTTGGGGCCATGGTTTATCGACGGCCATGGCCTGTAAAATATTTTTTTATTAATAATTTTTTTTATTAAAAATATACATTTTTATTTTTTTGGGCCATGGCTCTGTTGCCGCCATGACGTAAAATATTTTTTTATTAATAATATTTTTTATTAAAATATTTTTATTAAAAATATATATTTTTATTTTTTTTTGGCCATGGCCGTCTGTCACTACTACATGGATGGTAAAATATATTTTTTATTAAAATATTTTTATTAAAAATATATATTTTTTTTTTTTTTTTGCCATGGCCTGATCGCCGCCATGGCTTGTGAAATATTTTTTATTAATAATTTTTTTATTAAAATATTTTTATTAAAAATATATATTTTTATTTTTTTTTGGCCATGGCTCGATCGTGCCATTGCCGATAAAATATTTTTTTTATTAAAAATATATATTTTTTCTTTTTTGCCATGGCCTGGTCACCGGCCATGGCGTGAAAATATTTTTTATTAATAATATTTTTATTAAAATATTTTTATTAAAATATATTTTTTTCTTTTTTATGGCCATGGCCTGGTCTAGTCATGGCCACGGGCCGGTTTCGCCCTACGGTTGACCGGGCCCGCGGTTTGAACCGGCCCGAACCGCGTTCCAGCCGTTCCAAAAAAAAAAAAAAAACCGCATCTGTCAGCTGCTGCGACACTGCCGTGGCAACGGGCAAAATTTTAAATAAAAAAAAAAAAACCCCCCTGCAGCAGGGCCTGCACGTCTGCAGGCCCTGCTGCGGGCAAATTTTTTTTTTAAAAATAACCCCCGCAGCAGGGCCTCGCACGTCTCGCTGGCCCCGCCGCGCCCAAATAAAAAAAAAAACCCCGCAGCAGGGCTTGCACGTCCGCAGCCCCGCTGCGGGCAAGCGGGCTTGCCTTGCGGCCGTTGTCGTGGCAGCCTTTAGGGTGCGCCGGCAACGGCCAAGGCCAACGCCCAAACGGGCAAAATTTATAAAAAAGATAACCGCTGCAAAATTGCAACGGTTATCTTTTCTTTTTTTAATCCTAAATTTTCTTCTCATTTTTTCTTATAAATTCTCTCAAATTCTCTCAATACTCACAATTCTCTCAAATTCTCTTCTCTCAAGTCTCAAATTTTTCAATACTCAAATTCTCTCAAATTATCTTAAATTCTCTCAATTTTCTCAATCCACGTAATTCTTTCTTAATTCTCCCAATTAATCCGCTCAATTCTCTCAATCCACTCAAAAATGGCAAGTGAAAGTCGAGTGCCAACCCGGCAAAGGTAAGAATATCATGACGGAATCCCATCATTCTTTTGATCCTCGTGAATGTGCAGATTTTCAAGATGATGAAATCAACATTTTTCACGATGTGGAGCGCGTCCCGACGCAAGAAAGTTTTCATCCTCCCGCCGAAATATCTACAACAAAAGAAGCGGAACGGGAATTTACATTTGACATTTGGAATCACTTCACGAAAATGGAAAGGTTTGATATTGGTAAAAAAAGGTATGATATAATTTGTAAATATTGTGGGAAAATATATAAATATACAGTGGACAAGGATATTGAACATTTAAACGACATCTTAGGAGCAAACATCCAACCGAAACGGGAATCGATATCGGGCAACAACAAATTTCCGGGCACGTCAATCCTAACACTTCCCCTTTATTTCGTTTTAATGAAAAAACTTATAAGGAAGAATTAAGCAAATTTATTTCCGTTGAGCATTTAGCATTTAATTTTGGAGAAAGATTTGGTTTTAATGAATTTGTACAAAAGCATGTGCTCCACAAGCAAAACGTGTTCCTAGAAATTCAACTAAACGAGTAATTAAAGATCTTTACAAAAATGGAAAAAAGATTTACAAAACTTTTTTATGCAATTTAATGGATGCGTGCATATAGGTAGTGATATTTGGAGTGATCATTGGCAAAATCATTCTTATATGGGCATAACATGTCATTGGATGATGACGAGTGGAGTATTCAAAAAAGAGTTATTGCATTTAGAGTTTTCGATGATAAGCATACGGCAAATAATATTTATAGAATAATTAGGCAAGTTTTAGAAGAATATTATTTGCTTAACAAAATTTTTTCAATTGGTTTTGATAATACCGCAGCAAATACCGCTTCAATTGCCAATTTAGAAAATATTTGTAAACCCGCTTTTGGCGGAAAATTTTTTCATATTAGATATGCTTGTCATGTTTTAAATTTATGTGTACAAGATTGTTTGAAAACTCTTGATATTTTTCTTTAACCAATAAAAACGGCGATTCAATTTTTATGGAAACATCCCCAAAAAATGAAAGAATGGGGTAGATTTTGTAGAGAAAATGGTAAAAAACCAAAAAGATTTCAAGAGATGTTCCAACTCGTTGGAATTCTACTTTCCACTTGCTTAGTGAATCTTTAGCATATAAAGATTTATTATGTGCATTTATTTCTAATAATATACCTCAGATTAATTTATACCCACAAGAGTGGGATATTTGCCAAAAATTTTAGATGTTTTAAAGGTTTTAATGATGCAACTTATACTTTGTCCGGTGTTTATTATCCTACTACACATTTATTTTTAGTAGAGTGTACTAATATTGTCGAATTTTTGATTAATATGAAAATGATGTTGAATTACAACATACTATATTGCAATGAAAATGAAGTGGCTACATTATTATAGCGAAATTCCCATTATTTATTTAGTTGCTTGTGTTTTTATCCGCGTTGCAAATTGGATGGCTTAAATGATTTTTGCGTACGTATTATCAATGTTTACATTATGATGCGATAAATGTTACAACCATAGTACGTGAGGTTAAAAACGTAGTAATAGAAATATATAATGAATTTTATACTAAATATAATTTAGGTGATATTGGATCTTCTCAATCTACGGAGATACAAAATGACAAGACAGTAAAATTAGTAGAGGGTACCAACTTTTATTACATAGACAAAAAAAACAAAAGGAGTAATAGGAAATATTTCCGAATTAGAGATTTATCTAACCGTTTCATTTGAGTTTCCGAATCCGAAGGTGGTATGATTTTTTAATTTTGATTGGTGGAAGAGCACGCAAGCCAATACCCAATCCTTTCTCTTATTGCAAACAGATTTTTTCAACCCTTGTTCCACGTTGCGGTCAAACAAGCATTCGTCGGAGGTAATATTTTGGACGAACATCGTTCAAGATTAGCTCCAGTAATCGTGGAGATTCAAGCTTGTGTTGTCGATTGACGAAGGCTCAATACCGGCAACAAGAGATAGATCGGAATAATGAATCCGAATTCTTTAACGACGAAGATACTACCGCCACCGGTATCGGTACCTAGACTGAACGTGTAGTGACGATTGAGGGTAAAAGAACTATTGGAGTTGGTAAATATTTCGGGAACCCTTGTTTCTCATACCGGTACGCCCACGTAGCTTAGGGAAACCGAAGTATAATCCTACTACATGTGACCTCTGCACTCGCGCACGGAATGCTTAGGTTTTGGGATCATTTTAGAAGCATATATATTGTGCTCCTTTTTTATAGATCGTTGAACGAATCAGAATGTGCTTAATGATAATTTATTAAGTTCAAGCCCTCTCTTTCTCTCTTGTCTTTTTGTCCCCAAATTTGATTATAATTTACATTTTAATTACAATTTATATTGAATAATGTTCCGTCACCGAACAAGAATTTTTAATTTTTTTATTTTCTTTTCTATTTTTTTCTTTTCCTTTTCCTTTTTTTTTTTTCTTTTCTTCCTCCGCGGCCATAGCCGGGCCGGCAGGTCGCCGGCCTTAGGTGAGGCCGCCGCCGCGCGGCGCGAGGCGGCCCTCGCCGGCCGCGGCCGGCGGGGACGGCCTCGCCGGCGCCGGGCGAGGGCGGCCTCGCCGGCGCCGGGCGAGGGCCGCCTCGCGGCGTCGCGAGCGCCGCCTCGCTCGGGTCGGGCGAGGCCGGCCTCGCCAGATCGGGCGAGGGCTCGACCTCGCGGCAACCGGCGAGGCCGGCGCTCGCCGCCGGCGAGGTCGAGCCTCGCCCGGCCCCAGAGAGGGCGGCCTCGCCCGAGGCCGGCGACCTCCGCCCGGCTATGGCCGGCGGAGGAAGAAAAGAAAAAAAAAGAAAAGGAAAAGAAAAAGAAAAAAATGTAAAAGAAAAATTATGAACCGCTCTAAACCGGCTTCGACTGACCGGAACTGAACCGCCATGGGCGGTTCGGTTCTCATACTTGGCCACGAACCGAACCGGTCGGTTCGAACCGTGGCCATGACTAGCTCCGGTCGCGGCCATGGCCGTAAAATATTTTTTATTAATAATATTTTTATTAAAATATTTTATTCTCGTCGATCCGACGAGGGCGGTCCCTCGGGCCCGACATTAGAAGCTAAATTAAAAACCAAGAAAAGGAAGAAGAAAAAAAATTGATTCTCAAAATTGTTCCTTAATCAAGAAGCTTATTTTTTTAATTTTAATTCTCGCCTAAATCGATTCTCGCAACAATTTTTGACAAAATTGTGCCTTAATCAAAAATTAAACAAACGCATTTCGCCTCCAAACCGATTCCGGGAACAAAAGAACAGTAATCAAACACCGAGTTGTCGTGCGACCTAAGTCGCCTCTGCATAATTAAGGTCGTAGTATCTCTTTGCATATTCCTTTTGATTTCTCCATTTCGGAACCATTACTTGGCTCATAAATTCAGTGGCCAATTTGGTCCTAAGATCTCATCTTTGAAAGGAGAGGCGAAGTATGATGTACCCTTCTGTTCCATCTTTTGTCCGGAGGCACTCTTGGGGATGGGAGAGGCGAGCAATCAAAGGGCGTTGTGAAGAGAGATTTTGCTCGCGCCGTTCTACAGGAATCGATAAAAGGGACGCGAAGAGATGAATTTCTAGTCGGGGCAAACTGACTTTGCTTGGATCTGATCTTGTCACTTCGAGTAAAACTATACTCCATATACCGTCCCAATCAAAGGTTGACCATGTCAATCAGGGAGTGGACCTGTCTTTCCCTGTTACAAGAGAAAAAGAAGAAAAGAAGGCCAGGCCAGTCCCAGGAACAAAAAGCGGATTGCTTTCCGTCTTTCTTCTGGCATAAAAAGAGCATAAATTTAAAATTTGATAGTCGATTTTGTTTTGGAATCAAATGAGGCAGCCATCATTAAATGTCGGCTGGGCTGTCTGAGATGAGAAAAAGCAAAGACAGAAAGCGACTTGTCAGTCCATAATCAGGGCCTGTGGCCCCATTAAAATGAAGAAAGATAAATAGCGTGGGCTATTCCCCTGTGCACTACTGCCCTCTCTCTCCCTAAAGATTTTGGTTTTCTCTGGTTTTCCTGAGCGATGCTTACTGGTCCACAGTCCAATTTCCCAAGGTTCTTACTTCCTAGTTGGCCAAAGAAAAGGTTCTGATCGTCTCAAGTTCTCAACCTGCCTAGTGCTTCTTTCTGCCCAAATTGACCCTCAAGAAGATATATAGACATCCACACACACGCGGTATATATAACCCAGCAGACATGCGTTTCTGTCGTTAAGAACTATGGTAATTCCATATTGTCAGCAACGGAACAATAGACTATTTCACAAGATAGTCCTGTCAGAGAGGTGATGGCTAGCATGTAACGGGGAAAGACTCTTAATTATAGCAGGACTCACTGAACCGTTGCTTACTTTGAGATTGAGACGCACTTCCCTATTCCGTTTTGCCAGGGATTTGCACTCTGATATCCGGCTCTTCCCAAAGGACCCAACCCGATCGCATTCTGATTTGGTATAGTTGCTGGGAGGAAAGAGATTCACAAATCCTGTCGGCATGTTCTCCGCTGGTGCAAGTTTCTAACAACACCAGAATATGGGATGATAGTATTCCGCAGGATACCAAACACTGCGCCTGAAGTGGGGATTACAAGCACCCTGACAATTTTAGCGAGTTCCGCTCGGACTGGATTGTTTCGTGAGCGTATTGATCACTGTGGTTTGATGGATGTAGGTTTTGTTGGACCTATATTCAGTTGGACCGATTCCCATGACTCTCATACGTTCATTCAGGAGTATTCAGATAGAGCCCTTTGCAATCATAGACGGCGAACATCCTTCCGACCGTGTGCCCCCAAAAGAGATTGCCCTATCCACTTCGAGCCTACGTTGCGTGCAGCACCATGACTTCCCTAGAGTTGCTGAGCAGGCTCGGGTTTAAGGAGAATTGTATTTTCTGTTTAGCCATCCAGCATCTCTTTACGGATGTTTCCGGGACCGGAATAAATTCGCTTTTGGTGATGTGTTTATGAAACAGAGGGAGCTCCATGATAGATTTAATGGTTGTTCAGAAAGCTCTTCATCTAGTTGTCCTAATGAATGGTTTGCATAAACAAGCTCCTCTGGTTTTTATACACGCATGTGATGTTTTAGTTGTTTTATATTTGTCATAGCTTTGATTCTTGTTTCATAATCTGTCCACATGCAAATTTACCATTCTTCAACGGTTAATAATTACGCAATCTCATTATGCTTTATCTCCATTATCTTGTAGACTGATCTTAATATATCTAACACTACTCGACTACCCAGCTTTTTCTTTAGCATTGAGATATTGAATCGAATCAACTAAAGTATGAATAGAAAAAATGGATATGCAAACAAGAGTAGCCGAACCAGTCACACTCCATTGAACAATGGTTGTGATCCTTCCATTAAGACTACTCCTCTTCAGTGTATGGTCAGGTAAATCAAACCCTAGATGTCAAACTGTATTATGTCGCTTTGGGCTTAGCCAACTTAAACTTCGCATGCAGACCCAAAAAGAAAAAAACTTTAGACTTCGCATCACATTACACATATGGAAGGAACGGAAAGTGGAGACAACAGACAAGTACAAATACCTACATGCTCGCATGATTGTACTTTGGCCTTCCAAAAAATAAATGTACATGGCTTCCCGAAATATAACCACGACAAAGAAAATGGTTTCACTCTTTACATATTCAGCTCATGAAAGTTAGCTGCCTTCATGTGCTATTTTGTTGGTTTGCTTAGAAAGTAGCCTGCAATCCTTTGTATATCCTGTCCTGAGCTTCTAGCACAAAAGGTTATATAGTACTTGTGGCGTGTGTGTTCACGGGGTACATGAATAAACACACAAAGATGTTGTTCAATTTATAGAAATTTTGCCAATGTTGTTCAAGATATTGAAACAAAAACGCAATAATAATGTAGATAGTCTTAAATTTGTCACGAGTGCACGATCCTACATAAGGCGAATGCAAGAATCAAAGATAATTCGACTTTATCCGTACGAGATGACACATTTTCACATTTTATTGTAGAAGAAATCAATTCCTCTTGAGCTATTGACTAAAATACAACCTATTTAAAAAAATGCCACAAAATTTATTTTTTTTTAGGTTTTGAAGGTGAACGAGAAGATGACTTGGCAGTTGGCACACAAAATACCAGTTCAGCACCCCTTGAAATGGAAGGGGGGAAATTGCGAAGCCAGAAGGAGACAAAGCCAAAACTTGGCCCTACTTCAAGCTAGTCTGTGCGCCCCACTCCTCAGTGGCTCTTTTTGTCCTTTTGCTGCGTGATCAGATTTCGCTGCACAAATAAAAACCAGCAGCCCAAAAAGTTAAAAGAACCGGAAAAGCTCTCAGTCACACACTCAAAAGCCCAAATTTTGTCTCTACCTCTCTCTTTCTCTCTCTCTCTTCTCTGCACTTCTCGTCCATTTTGTTTCACACCCAAAAAAAACCATTATGTAAAGGAGATTAAAATCAAGCTAAGTAATTCATAGGGATAATGACATAAACAGTCTCTGAACTTTATCTAAACTCAACCCTCAGTAATAGTTCACTCCATCACTTTGCAAAGCTATAGCAGATGGAATTTAGCAAAACAAAAAAAAAAAAAGTTATAGCAGAAGGATTTTTCAATACAACCACTACCTTCTGCATGCATCTCTCTCTCTCTATCTCTCTCTCTCTCTCTCTCTCTGGGGTCCCCCCTCGTCTCATCTCGAAACCCTCACAAACTGGTCCTGACCCAGCTGGTACAATCTAACTAACCAAGTCCCACATAACCTTCCCTCCTAGCAAGAAAATCATCAACCAATCCATTAAAAAGCTTTGGCCTTTTTCCTCTCTCTCTCTCTCTCGTTCCTGTTGTGTTTTTTTGGAAATCCTTTTAGACATAATTATTAGCCTATATATACTAGATCCTGTGTAAAAAAAAAAAAAACATCGAACAGCGATAATGAGTGTCCGACGAGAGACATTCACAATGCAAGAAAAGAGAACCAGAAGCTGCTGCTGCGTACCTCCCTCCCTCTACGGGCTCTACCTCATTTATTTCACTACTCTCCCTCCCTTCCTCCCTCCTCTCTCTCTCTCCCTCTCTTCTCTTCTTTAATATTTACTGTGGACAAATTACACTTTCTCTGCTTCCGGAGACGCTTTTCGGGTTCTTCTTCTTATTCCTAATGCCACACCTTTCCTTGCCATTTCTGCATAATCATTGAACCCTGAGCTCAAGGTTTGAACTCGCCTCTCTCTGTCTCTGTCTCTGTCTCTGTCTCTCTCTCATGGTTCACAAATACTTCTTTTCGCTAGAACTTCCATTCTAGAAGAACATTAGCTAATTCTCGAGGGACCCATATCGGTCTTTTTTTTGTCCATCAACTTTTGAGTTCTCATCTCTCTCTCCCTCGATACACGTACACACACGGAAACAATGAAGAACTTTAGTTGGCTCATCATTTTGGGGGTGTGTTTGGCCGCTGCTTGGCATGGAGAAGCAGGAGACATAGACGAAGCTCCAATGGAGGAAACAGAAAGGCAGGCTCTGTACTCTGCAATACAAGGGTTTGTGGGCAACTGGTGGAACGGGTCGGATCTTTATCCAGACCCTTGTGGATGGACTCCCATACAGGTATCTACGGTACTATCACATTTTTGTTGTGGAATGCAAATCTTCACTGTGACATTGGCAAATCTGTACTGTACTGTACTGTGCCATTGGAGTAGAGCAAGATACAGAGCAGAAGTTTTGGACCACGAAAGAAAACCTTTAACTGATTTTTCACCCAACGGGTGAAAAAAGGAGAAACTTGCAATTGCGATTACCAATCTTGAATACATGTTTTAAATTGGAGTGCTGTTTAGTTCAGATTGAGTTGAGGTTTGTTGCACTCATCTACTGTCTTAGCTTTAATCGCTTACAGATAGGTCTCACAAGTAGCTCTCCATCAATATGATAATGTTAACGTGCACTACAACCTCTTAGCCATTTGTTAGGTGATTATTATACATGTCGAGTTCATTGTTGCGAAATCTTCAGTTTGTCTTGAGAAATGACCTCTGCTTTGCTCGTTTTTTTTTTTTTTGACAGGGAGTGTCCTGTGATCTGTTTGATGGGCTTTGGTATGTCACCACCTTGAACGTCGGACCAGTTCATGAGAATTCCCTTGTTTGCTCGGCCAATCCTGTCTTCACACCACATGTCTTCAAGCTCACTCACCTGAAATCCCTCTCCTTCTTCGGTTGCTTTGTCTCGCCCCACCAAAATCCCGTCACGGTACCTCCCGAAAGCTGGGGAAATCTGGCGAGCAGCTTGGAGTCGTTGGAGTTCCGGTCAAACCCAGGGCTCGTCGGGCAAATACCATCTTGCTTTGGCCAGCTCGTTAACCTCCAATCACTGGTGATCCTAGAGAATGGTTTGAGTGGCAATGTGCCTCCGGACATCGGTAGTTTACCAAACTTAAAGCGGCTAGTCCTTGGGGGGAACTCACTCTTGGGCCCAATCCCGGACAGTTTCAGCGGATTGTCCAAGCTATTAATCCTTGACTTGAGCAGTAATTCTCTGTCCGGGCCTTTGACTTCGGCTCTTGGGGGTTTGACTTCACTCCTGAAGATGGACTTGAGCAACAATCTATTAGAAGGGAAGCTGCCAATGGAGCTGGGCAAGCTCAAGAATTTGACCCTTTTGGACCTGAGGAACAATAAGCTCTCCGGTGGGTTGACTCGGTCACTCGAAGCCATGTGCTCGCTGCAAGAGCTGATCTTGGCCAACAACCCGATAGGAGGAGACCTGAGAATCCTAGAGTGGGAAAAATTGCAGGGCCTGGTCACTCTGGACCTTTCACAGATGGGTTTAACTGGAGACATTCCTGAGTCGATCTCTAAGCTGAAAAAACTCAGGTTTCTGGGTCTCAGCAACAACCACCTCGGTGGTCACATCTCACCAGAAATGGCAACATTGCCCAGCATCAATGCTCTGTACCTAAACGGCAACAATTTCACCGGGGAGCTCAAATTCTCTAAATGGTTTTATGGAAAGATGAAGAGGCGCTTCGGGGCCTGGGACAACCCTGGCTTGTGTTACCGGACCGAGTCGCTATCAACAAGCCGCAAGCCATTTGGGGTCAAGCCCTGTCAGGAACAGGGCAATGTGGTCGATGAGCCCAGCTCAGAGGCCAAGTTGGGTGGTGACCGAATGAGGTAAAATGTCCATTTCATGGCATCTTTGGGATGTTCAAGACATGGTGGTGGTTTTTATGGGTTGTGGTGTCCTTTTCTGGTGGAGGTAGCAATGTTGCTGCTCATTGTTCTGAAGAGTAATTAGATGATGGTGGGTTTGAATTTATGATCTTCATTTACTCAGTGGATGGAATAGTTTTTGAGTATATACTATAGAGTAGGCCTCTATCTACTACTACTGGTAGCAACCAAGGGATAGATGAAGAAGAAGCCTTGGAGGCAGAGAAAAGAAGTCGATCTTTCTAATACACTAACCATTAATTTATCGTAAGCTCATGTTCAAAATGTGATCGTTTTCTTTTGTTGGCATGCATTCAAGTTTAATTTCCTGATTCAGGGTATCCATGATTTTGCAGCTTTGTTCATTTTTTTGGTCGAAATTTTGCAGCTTTGTTCAAGATTGACTTTTTTAGGGTTAATATGAGTCAAAGTATTTCTGTTCTGCTGGAGTACAATATCACAATGAATGAACACAATCATCAAAACCCAATGTGCCTGTTCTAAGGGCTAATACTCTCATGCATAATCACGAAAACCCCTCACTATCCTGGAGGCCAGAGATCACCAGAAGGAGAAAAAAGCAACTTTAATGAGGGCAACATGAGTTTCTAGTGAACTAAATGCAGAAATTTGAGCGGTATCGTTGAAGTCGAACACAACAATGGCTTTGTTAGTGATTATATATACCTAAAGATCACATTTCGTTTTTTCTCAAATCTATGAAATTTGTTGATGATGGAATGGTAGCATAACGGGAAACATTCATCATTCACTTTGCTCCTCTGAGGAATACCCAACCAACCAACTTGACCTTTTTTTTCTCTGGTACATGCCTATGAAAGAAGAAAAAGGTTCGATGCTTGGGGGAATATTTGCCTAGTGAGAGAGAGTGAAAGGGCCTTGAAATTTTCCTGGTGGTTCTCAGAATCATGGTACCTCCACAGAGAGAGTCCTAGCAGTAAATGGGTATCTTAAATGCAATGATAGGGAAGTGTAGGGTGGAGTGATAGACTTTGCAGTATGAAACACAGCCCAACCTACAACTCTCTCTCTCTCTCTCTCTCAGTGTACTTGGTTCCCACACAGCCTGTGAAGTTTGTACGCAGAGGGCTTGTGTACTGTCGTGGACCTCTCTTTTTTAAATTCAAAGATGATGACAAGTGGCTGTCATATTGGGTCTCAGCCATTCCTGCCCTGTGTTGTACCATCTTTCTGCTCGAGCATGGGTGCATACCGGATCCTCCTATCGTTCTTGGGACATTGAACGAGTGCTTCATGGATGGTCCCGCACATTATCTCCTATACGTTTGATTTCACCCCTTTTTCCAGGACTTCTTTGTCTCCATCACAGGGACGATTCTCATTATACCGTGACATAGATGATTAAGTAGAAAGGCGACTGATGCAGAACCTATGATCTGATTAACTTTTGTTTGAGTCTTAATCGGATTGAGTTTCTTCGTGACAGATCTTTTCGGGTTTTCCCTCAACTCGTGGTTTTGGGATCGATATGCTTTCGAATCGAATCATCGGTACCCCACGTGCTTTCTTTCGATGATTACGATTCGAACTTTCAGCTCGATTAATCTTCACCCACCAAAACCAAATGAGCCGGTTGGACTTGCAATTTGAAATAACTTCAAGATAGACAATTTTTTAATTCTTCAAGAGCTTTTGATTCTGCTCATTCTCAAGAATGCTTCGTCGACAGGCTGTTCGCTGCGTGGCCCAATGAAAATGAAATTCGTTATTATCGTCCCAAGCCCAACAGAGCTGATTGGCCGGGAGACACGAAGGAAGAGAAAAGAAAAGAAACCGCGGACCCAGAAAACAAGGAGGATGTCTTTGTTCTTCCTTCTTTCTTTATTGTCGTAATAGACGAGAACATCTGCCGGCCAAGCGGGTCATGGAGAGAAAGGGGATACATACTAACGAACCTTTACCCAAATCTCACTCAAGCTCGGTTGGTGAATTGAATGACCTAAGCCGTGATTTCTTCATGGATGATCGTTCGGGTCTCGCGCACGTAGCCATTCAGATCAAATTCGGTTCATTCATAATGAACTCGGTAAAAGAGTATGAATTCTGTCGAAACTCGAAAATGGGCACGACGCGCGGGAGTTGAAGAGTTGCTCGAGGCTCGAAAGTCCGAATCGGGTCCGGGCCTTCATCTGCCCTTGGCTTTCCGGGGGGTGGGGGTGGCGGCAATTCGGCTCCTGTCTCGAGCCGGGGGGGCCGAGATTGGCTCGGAACATGGCTTTTAAGGTAAAACCTAAGATGTAAGAAGTACGAAACGAAACATCAAAGTGGAGGCAAAACAATGTGGTGTTGTTGATCGGATTGGGACCATGTGAATTCGCCTTGGGCTTCACCGGCGGAAGATTTTGGCCGACGCCCTGATGTTTAAAACGATCAGAGATCGGTTTCAGCAGAATCGATGTGCCAAATCTTCCCATGAATGCAACGCCGGTCTCTCTCCTTCATTCCCGGTGACGTCAGTGACCCCCGTGTTTTTTTAATCCCATGCCTCCATAATTTTCCAGTATTTTTCTTCCCCCTAAAAAAAAGAAAAGAAAAAGAAATCGATGATCACGTAGACGAGTCGGTCTTGATTGGCACAAGTTCAAATAAGTAGGCCCGAATATATAAAAGAAGGGTTCCGAACCAATTGAAAACGATAGATTTTGCGGTCGGAAATAAACTCTAGCGATAATATAGCGCTTCGAATAACCTTTTCTGGATTGACCCGGCTTCATAATTTATCCCCTCTCATCGATTGAAAGTGTGCGATCTAGACCCGTCTGTCCGCCATGTTCAGGCCAGGGCATTCGCGGGAAATTACTTTGTATCGCGATCTGATCTGGAAACGAAAAACACACCCATGAAAGTACATGAAACTAGAGACTAAGAACGCGACGTTTCCGGAGGCGAAATGTACCCAACATTGTACCAATGGACGAGGGTCCCTTCTTGAGCTACGTCTACTACTGAGATTTCTTCCTGTTTTTAAAAACCCTAGAGTCAAACTGTCATCGCCAATTCGATCGAGTGGTTCCAATTAAAATTTCTTGAATTATAATGACCGGCGGAGCCCACAGAGAAGAGGTGCGGTTTCTTACGAGAGCTTCTCACGCAAAAGATACATCTTTAGCGACTTTGTTTACTATATGGTCGGATTATGTCAATTCGATTTCCATCACGAATGGCACCACGAATCCGCACCTTTGCTGATGTGACCAATAATTTCGAAGCCAGAATTGAAAAAAAATAAATAAATGCCATAGTACATTTAAATCCGATTTTTTTTTTTCGTTTATCTCGACTCTGATACGTGACGTCGGAAATGAGAAGCGAAAGAAAAATTCCATCTGAGTAGAAGGAAATTGTAAAACTCATGCATATCCGATTCATGAACCGAGCTCACCTAGAAAGGATGACGAGAAGCCAAAGAGAATTGGAGGTTGGTGGGGGGACCCATAAATCTAAGAGCTCTCAGGTCACGTAAAATTTTTTTTTTTTGTCGGTCCTACTTTATTTCTCACTCACGATACATACTCAGACTTGCGCCCCACCTCTTACAGGGCGTGGGCATCGCAACCCACATCTTAAACTACGCGACCTCACCCCTTCCCCCCCTGCGAATGTGGGGATTCGAACTCCCCATCCTCGATTGGGACCGTGGATGTCCCAAAAGCCTAACGTACAGTCTCGACCCTTATCGGGCGATAGTTTTCGACCGTACCGGCGATTGCATCACCCGTCGAAAACGTGCCATCTCTTGTCAAGTCGAGTCGAATCCTCTGCTCCGATTCGATGCAAAAGGAAAAAGACGAGCGCTTTGGGACTCCGAATCCATCTCCGCCTCTCCCCCCCCTTATTTCCCGCGAATTCGATCTCCCGATCTCGCTTCGAAAAAGAAGTGAAGAGCAAGGCGACCCCCCCCCGAGATAAATGACTAAACCGGCAAATTGGGGTCCATCTAAATTTTCTTGGCCTAGGTTACTTTAATATGTATAAGTTTAATTAGTGCTTTGCTTGGGCGAACCTACGAGCCAGTCGAATCGCTGACTTTGGAGCGGTCAACGCACTCCTTCGGCCACAACTACCAAAACGCGGAGGGGCTTAATAAAAGCCTGAGCGGGGTGGCATGACGACGGCCCTTTGCTAAACAAAGCTTGCGCCTCACGCCACGAGCGAAATGCGCGTCGTCTCAAACGAATGGCAATTTCCCTTGGACCATAAAATACTCCCCTAATCCTTGTCGTCTCAAGGGTATTCGCCCCATTTTTGTATAATGGTAGCCATATAAACATCGGCATATAAAATTATATGTATATATATATATATATCGGTAAATTCGGCTTTACAAACGAAGCGACCGGATTGCCATGTAATTCGAGACTCGATCAAAAATCTGAGATGCCGCGCTTAACCCTTTCGATTTTCGCGAACACTAGTCTTAATAGTATCATGTAGCATCATCACATGCATATGCCTTTCAAATGGCAAAGAGAAAGGTAAAATCGGAAGAAAAAAAAAAGTGGGAAGTGGGTGGGTAAGGCGGTGGAGTGGAGGTTTTGAGCCGGCAACGAATAATAATAATAACAATAATAATAATATACCGCTATATATGCATAAATCATGTAAATAGCTAGCTCCAATTTTCTTCAATTTTTTTTTCTCTCTCTATGTTTTTTCCCTCCCTTAATCGTTGACTATCGAAATTTCAGAGGGAGGGGGGGCGGTTGCGTGGCCTTCACTCGTTTTCCCCGACGCTTCTTCCATACTTTTCCTCCAATTTTTCCCTCCCCTCCCTCATTGCGCCTTTATTTAAACCCCTCGCCCTCTCTCTCTTTCCCCCCCATCATCAACCTTCGAAACGCACAGAAACGCACCTCAAAAACCCTACCCATCTCTCTCTCTCTCTCTCTCTCTCTCTGCCTCATCTCTTGATCTTTCTCCGAAGAACCCACCCGATGGATCTTGCACGTATAGCCTCATGCGCCTTCCTCCTCCTCCTCCTGCTCCTCGCCGGTCCATGCGCCGCCGCCCGGCTCGGCCCGACCACGACCACGACCACCACCACGCCCACGCCCACGCTGTCCCTCGCGGCTCCCTCGAAAGGCGCGCGGCACCATCCCCACAAGACCGGCTTCCGCTACCGGGGCCACATATACAGCTACCTGCCCAAGAACACGGAGGTGCCGCCTTCCGGCCCGTCGCCCCGGCACAACTCCGCCGTCACCTCCACGCCGGGGACCTGAGCTGGATTGATCTTTGGAAGCCTACACGCGCGCGTTTTTCCCCACCGCCCTGCCGGTTGACCGCCCATACACGGTGT